GTATTCCTACAATGTTGCTTGCAAATGCAGCCATGGCTTGAAGGCAGAACCAGGATAATTCTGCATAACGACACAAGATACAAAAAAACAAAACAGTTTCATGTTGTGATTTTTTTTGAAATGCAACCTGAAATTTCAAGGTAGCTTTCTGTAATCTGTGCATAGAAAGCAAATGAGAGGAAGGCCCATGTTGAAAATATACTAGATCCAACATTTTTCCCCGAAGGCAACCCGGGCAGAAAAAGTAGGCCTAAAATAACAGGGTGTGAACCTTACAGGCTGAGGCATGCTGGGAGTTGTAGGCCTTTTTCTGTTTAAACATACGATTGCATCTTTTAAGTGTGAAAATCCCTTGTATTTATTGCAACAACAGAACACCGCAGTCACAACTCTGAAAACAGTTAATGGGTGTACCGGGCCAGGTGTTAGAAATCAGGAGCCACCCCTGCAAAAAAGGACGCCTGGAATGAATAAGCGCTTGCTCTCTAGAGACAGGGAAGTGCACGTTTTGCAAGCCAAAATGCCCATAGCACGATCCCTCTGGGAGCAGATCGGCGCGTTTCAAGCCTCCTTCTCCCGGCCCGGGGAAACCGCTTCCCCAGGAGCGCCCGTCCCCTCCTAGTTCGCGTGTTTTTATGCCGCTCGGGTAAGTCAATGGCGCAAACACGTAACTAGAAATCCGCGAAGGGGACTCTTCCCTTCGTGCCCCTCCCCCACTCGCCTTTTCCCGCCTTTTTCCTGAGGCGCCGCCTCAGCGCCCGGCAGCCGTTAAAAGTGGCTTCTGGAGGGGGGAGGGGCGATGGCGGACCGAGAGCGGCGCCTCAGATGGCGCGGGCAGGAGGCCCTGAGGGGAGGCAGGGGGCGGGTGGCGCTTGGGACTGAGACATGGCAGCGGAAGACGCTGAGGAAGAGTTAGCTAGATCGAAAGGGGCGGCCTTGACAGCTGTGTGGGGCGGGGGGAGGGAGACATATTGTGAGGTGAAGAAGCCTGTGGATGAGGGGAGGCTGGGAAGAGAAGTGTGGGGTTCATGAAGGCCTGTTGTGGGGATGTGTAGGGCTTATGAATGTATTGTTTATATTCCACCTTTCTCCCCTTGTGGGACTCAAGGGGGCTACATGGAGTGGTGTCCCCTCCGAGCCTAAGCCAGCCAGCCAGCCCAGAGCGACTTGGCTGCAACATGGCGGATGCCTGAAGTGGCTTTAGAGCATCCTCTGGGTCACTAGGGTCAGTGGAGGGATTTGTGCAGTGAAGGGGGGTGGAGTTCAAGGAAATGGCGAAGGGAGCTTGGGGAACCTAGGACAACGTGTTGTGATGCAAAGGGGGTGCCAAGCGAAGAAAGGTGTTGATGTAGGTGACCGGGAGAAGCGCTGAGCTTCTGGCTGTGGGGAATTTGTGGAGAGGCCAGGATGTGAGGTTCAAGGAGCCTAGAGGGAGTTTTGAGTCACCTGGAACAATGAGTTCCAATGGAACTGATTTAAAACTCGGCCTGCAATGCAGGGGACAGTTGCAGTTTTGAAAATGCATGTGTTTCTAGGATGACCCTGCCTTTTTATAGGGTGCCAACGTATCTAACAAAAGTATAACATGACCATAAAGGAGAGTGGGTCTACATAACTCCTCATGCAGCCATGAACCTCACAGAGGGGAAGGAGCAGAACTGATCCTTCCATCCATCCATCCATCCATCCATTCCTTTGGCATCAGAATGAAAGCATTATATGCATGCAGTGAGGTATATGCACATAAGTCTCTTCCATGCACAGGGAATCCTGATTGCACATGTATCTGTATACCCCCTTTTTTTGTAAGGCAGCTGACAAAAAGAAAAATGCAAGCTCATAACAACCTCAAAGGCCATCATCATCATCATCATCTTACTATACTGCCCATAGCTGAAGCTCACTGGGCAATTCACATTTAAGTCACCCATCCAGATTTCAACCAGGCCAAACTCTGCTTAGCTTCCAAGATTAGGCAGGATTGGGTACTTGAGGTGCTCACACAAATGCCAGAGCGGGGATGATGGTGCTTGTCAGCCATGCCCTCCCCCACCCTGTGTTTGCTGTCAGAGTACGGGGGGCATAGATACATCCTGACATGCTTCTAATGCTCCCCACGGGTGTGGGAATCCTGACGGTGGCCGCTGCTCCCTTGTGTGGAGGGAGGGCCTGTGTGCAGAAAGTTTTACGTGCATGCAGCCCCTTCCCGCCGAGGCCACATGTGCAGCTGCGGTGAGCATGGCCAGCACATGCTTTGGCGCGGTGGGGCTGTGGCTGCCAGCTGCAGCACTGCTTCCTCCCTGCTCAAGGGGATGCACCCACGAGGGAGTCAACGTGAACGCCTTAATAAAACAGCAAGCACCACGTAGCCTAAAAATCTATAAAGCCAGGAGCAGTAAAATAAGATACAAAACAGGAGTAGATGCTCTAAAAGGATAAATTAATCTGAACACATGCATTTGTTCATTGAGTGATTATTTGGCCACTTTTTCAGTCACTCTATAATGACATTACCTTGGTAAAATTAAAGAGGGTATTCAAAGCCAGAGTAAAAACAAACCGCAATATATAGCTAGCAATATTCAGGTACTCTAAAAATTTGGCCAATAAAAATGACTGTAAGACAACACAGAAGAGGCCAGCCTGACTGCTCTTAGTCAAAACGCCTCCGCAGTGAAGAGGCGCTGGCTCACAGTTGCATCAGCCCTACCTCTGTGGGCAGCCAAATACACATCAATTGCTCCTGGACATGGCAGGGATTGAGGGACAGGTTCATGTGAGAAGAGGCAATCCTCTGAAATGTCATTAAGAGTCTGAAGAAACAGCCCGGAATTTGCCCGGCCATTAAGAGTCTGAAGAAACAGCCCGGAATTTGCCCGGCAGCTAAAGGACAGGCACGAATGCCTCAAAGGCACATGCTTAAGCAGGAAGTTATATGGTTTGGGTAGCTACCACCGGAAAAATGTACCTCCGTCTCCTTCCCTCCTCCCCTTCCGCTCTGCTCATGTAACTAATGTGCATGTGTATTAATTAACGGCATGGAGCAGGGGGCTGGACTGCCTCCACGTGTCGCACTTCCAACCTCCATGTGCTTATCAGTGTAGGGGCACTGAATGCAATCCCTCTACAAGCAATTATTTGGTGAACATGCCATCCTATATCCCCTTCCTCACCTTTCCCATTTACGTTGCAGGCTCACCAGTGTAACAACTACATCTTTTTAGAAAACCCTGTGAATCATAAGTGTACACCCACACCAAGTGACAATTTCCTACTAACGAACGAGGTATTGACCCACCTTAGGTCTAGCTAGCTATAGCCCACTTGTGGGTTCTAACTCTTTAACCGAAGACCAGTGAATTAGAAGGAGGAGAGAGGAGGAATGTAAAAGGCACGGGAGGGGGCTCAAGAGGCGAAAGTGGGCTGCTAAGAACAGGCCTGGAATGAAAGGTGGGGGGCTGAAGGGAGAAAGAGGGCTCTAATATAAAAGTGAGGATATTGAAGGGAAATGATCTTTCTGGGGGACATAGCTGGTGAATGGTTGCATGAAGAGAGCCTAAGAAGTGTCAGGTATAGGTAGGAGACCCTTAATGCAGAGTTGTAGCAACTGATTAATAAAACAAGAGAGGGAGAAGAGAATTGATGGGGCAGCAAGGTGACCGTCTTTTGACCGGGAAGGCCCCAAAGCCTGCATGTGAGGCAGCTTCAGGAGTCAAGCTTTTTAAAACCATTGTGCCTCAGTCAGGGAAATTGTATCTTGGAGTCACTGCTCAGTTTCCTGTTTAGTTGCAAAGTCGTGTCCGGCCCATCACGATCCCATGGACAAAATTCCTTCAGGTTCTCCCGTCCTCCACCCTCCCCAGTGTCTACCCAGCCCCACACCCACCGCCCCAGTGACCCCATCCAGCCACCTCATCCTCTGCCGTCCCCTTCCCCTTTTGCCATCAGTCGTTCCCAGCATCAGGGTCTTCTCCTCACTGCTCAGTATGCCCCCAAAAAACCCTATTAGAAGAAAACAGTGGCAACTCCGAGGGCTCAAGAAAGTGAGAAACAGTAAAGCAGATGACCTGACTGACAGGCAGACAATGGATCCTGAGAGTCTTGATTGCAGATAAGCATGTAATCTAGTATGTATGTTGTAACAAGAAGGAAGCACAAAAAGCGTCAGTCTCCCATGACCATTAAATTGTAACTAATAATTGCAGAGGTAGCAACTATGTTCGCTGCAGTTTATTTCATTTCAATTTTATTCTCCTGCTTCCCCCTTTTGTTTCTCATGATGTATTAATGCGTTCCAGGAGTGGCCATTTAAAAAATGCCAACACACCCTTGCTAGGCCAAACCAAAGATCACTGAAACATCACCTGACAGAGCCCAGTCAATGTGTCCAAACTCTGTTCCATATCACCTGGGGACTCTGATTATACAGACATACTGTTTACAACATCCAGTTGCCCCCCTCCCACCCTACATCTCCACCCTGCTGCTGCCAACCCGCTTTCTCTCATTTTGCCTGATGACGGGATCTGGAGATCTTGAAAACCCGCACATTTTTGTGTTGGCCTAATGAAAGTATCGCACTATATGCATTTTAAAATGAATGGTTTCCTGTGCAGCTCTTGCTGAGCCGTTCCCTGCCCCCACATACTTCTTCTTATTCTGTGTGTTATCATCTCTCCTTCCCAGCCCTGACCTTTGTCCCCTCCTGTTCTTGCTGATATCAGGATAAAAGACTCAAGGTGCTCCCCAAAGGCTGGACTTCACCCCTACATTGCAGAAGATGCAGGATCAGCAGAGATGCCTACGGGGAATGTGCCAAGCAAGGGGAACTGGGGACAGTGAACAGAAGGGATGGGGAATGGTGTGGGGGAGGAAGGAAGCGTCGCACATGCAGAAAAGGCGGGTACACAGAGTTCCATCATTCCGGCCCTCCCTTTCCTTTTATCCCTGTCTTGTTTTCCTGAGACAAATGTCTCTTTTCTGCTTTGTAACTGTGAAAGCTGCTGGGATTCCTAAAAATAGGTACATTAAGCAAAATCATGACGCACACCGTAGTGAAAAGTGAATTTGCTAATCAGAGGAGGGAAGAAGACTAAAGTCTTAAGGAAAATGGACTTTATTGGACAATAAACTTGAGCATATGCACAGTGAATTATGAGGTGCAGGCAGACTAAGTGGTGGCTGGGTTGTTCATTTTACAAAAGACAGTGTTGTGTATATATTTCAGTGTTGCACACCCTTACCCCAAACACTCAGGAAGAATGACAACATGCAATTTCTTTTTCTTTTTTTTCATATTGGAGGCACAATCTTATATCTTGGCTATGAGTTGTTACTTTTTCTGCAAAAACTTGTATAGGATTGCTCCCAAGGGCATTTTATTAGACTTTATTATTAGAAAAAATCTGGACCCAAATCTAAAGATGTTGTAATCGTTGAAAAGGCACAAGTTAAAGCCAGTACTGGGGGCAGGGACAAGAGAGAGGGATTGGATATTACCTTGTGAGAAAATTCAGTAACATGTAAATTTAACTTTCTTTGTTTGCATGTTGAATTGTGGGTAACCACCAAAACAATGTGAAGGAGAAGTTGAAAGAATGCTATTAAGGTGGGACTAGAAATATTACAACATAAGTGTACTAACAAGCTAAAACAGGGAAAGAAGAGATGAGAGAAGAGCTGTGTTAAAGATGAATGTATAATAGGCTAAATAGATTTATATAGTCTACAATAAGACCATGCAAAAAAAAAAAGAGGTAGCTATTTTTTAGAAAAATACATCCATTAACTTGAGGATGTACGGGCTGCAAGTCCTCACAGAGACAGGGAGGGTAGTGTGCAAGTATAAATAAGACTCTTTAAACTCAATTAGACACGCTTTGGTTTCTGGCCGTGATACAGTTCTACAGAGGCCGGTTATGGTGGATCATACGGCTCAGGTAGAGCTGATGTCTCTTGTCTGAGCGCATGCCAACTAATGTGTCTTCCTCACCTTGCGATAGTCGACGAGACCCGATTCCTGTTTTTAGGAGAGATGAGTAAGGCAAAAAGCGATCTGGACTCGAGCGCGTGGGAAGAGGAGCGAGATAAACAGATACCTTAACTGGAGCAGCTTCTATTGATGAATATTATCAAGATAAGACAAGAGGGAGGAGTTTGGCTCCTGGAGCAAAGGATTAACCCCCGCTCCGGTCCGGCGGCAGCCGGTTTAGGCACATGAGCAGGATAGAGCGACTCGGTGGGAGAAAAACATACGAAGAGCACAGCGGAGCGAGGCGGGAGCTGGGCTGCAAGGAGGAATGAGAAGCCGAGAAATCAGGCGGAGAGAGGACCTCGGCAGGGACGAGAAACCGCACGAATCAACAACTCGGAGAGACGGCGGTCTAGCATAAGAGAGTACCCTGGCAAAGAACGATCCAGCGGTACCTGTCCAAGCTGAGCTTGAACGGGGATCCAAGAAAATCTGGGAATAAGTGCCACTGATGAGAATGGAACGGAACTGTGAGAAGTAGCTGCGTGTTGCAGTGGGGACGAACAAGATTAAACCAGTCTGTTTCCCGTGCTTTATTGCGTAATTTTCTTTCGCTGCTGGGGAAACTTTACAAGAAAGAACGGTACAAAAACAACGTGAGAAAAAAGATTTATGAACTGAAGGAGACGAATTCTTCACTATCCGGAGTCCCAAGCTGACCGATACGCAAAGTACAGCACGTGAGAGGTCAGCTTGGTACTAGAACCAAAGAATGGTTAGCGACTAGCACCTAAACCAAAGCTTAACAGGAGAGACCCAACTCAAAAGTAACAAGGTTGATGTTTGAACCAAAGCGAATCCAGCTTTTTATGGTGCTAGAACCAAGAAGATACACAGAGAGCTTGCTATAGAAAAGACAGATCTAGCTACCCTCTGAAACATAGACTGTAATAAGTTGATTTTAAAGATAAAAGTCCAGGATAACAGTTTCAGAGACTGGATTCAGAGTGGATTTGAACAGCTGGACCAAGGAACAGAGCTCCTAGGTGATAATAGTCTGAAGCTTGCTTAAGTCTAGTTTATGACCATAGCTGCATCAGAGGACACAGATCCAAGACAGAATTGCTTGAATTGTAGGAAAGCCATCCATAGAACCTCTACCCCAGAGTTCTTTTGGATCCAGTATCAGTAAGTGAGAGCTGCCTAGTTCAACCTTCCTGAGAGTTAGAACACCATGGAGGATGGAGCACGTCGCCGAGTTGGTTCTGAGAAGAGTTCAGCTAGTCCTGAAAAATCGGAAGGAGGTGGTGTTGCGCTCAAGAAAGAGATTGGACTGATAAGTGCATGTGGCATTATTGTGGGTGAGTGAGGATTCTGGAGGAATATATTTACTCTCATTGGTCTAGCACAAGGTGGTAATTATTGCTTTCCTCTACTTAACAGGAAGCAGAACTTCTGTTACTCCTTAGTTCTGAATCGTCTATGTTTCCTGACTAGAGCTAAGATTAGACATGACTAGGAGACTTTTTGTGCCTCTGTTATATTTTGTTTTTCCCACTTCTTGAGGAAGGGATGAAGCATGAAAAATCTCTTATTTTTTGTTCTCCTTTTTAATCACTGTTTCTTCTTCCTGTGTGTCTTTTCCTCCTTTCTATAAATATGCTAGAGCTGTCAGTTTGTATCACCGATCCAATTAGAGGCAGTCATTCCCTCTCTCAAACAGTCTCAGCAGTACCATCTGAACTCCTTCTAACCTCTTCTTGCTTGATTCCCTGTTGGAGTAAAATAGGCCAATTCCCAATTCGGCTGCTGCTATACTCCACCTTAAATCCTTCTCTGTTTAGGGATCCACTCATTGCAGGTTAACGTATCCCTCCCTAGTCATGCTGGCATCTCAGCAACTGAGATAAATGCATGTATATTCAGCTGCCCTGACCCAGAAGGATCTTCGGAGGAAGCAAGGATGCCAGTATACACAGCTGCTTCAACCCACAGGGGGTTGCAACTCTGTGGCAGACGAAGCTTCTCTGAATGTGAAGCCAACCCTTGCTAAAAGCAACAGGGGCTCTAGGCTGGATTATCAGTGATGTCCACCCATTTGCCCCTTAATGGGAGCTCGGACAAGACAGCAGAGACTCTTGCTCTGAAGTTGGTGTTTCAGAGTTGAGGGAACTCTGGGCTAAAAGCTGATAGCCAGGCCGTGTAGGAATATATCTCCGCAGTTCTCCAAGCTCTCGATCAGAGGAGTTTGTTTTCCACTTCAGTGAAGCTGGAGCGCCAGCTCTTGGAACATGTTTGTTCCAACGCCATCAACCCCAGTCCAGATGGCTTTGTTTCAGCAGGTGCCAGGAGACTGCTGAAACAAACAGAGAGGGAGTGGAGGAGAAGCACTTTGGGAAACAGTTGGATAACCCTTGTTTTCCTATCCACTCCATTCTCACCAACACCCCAATTCTACCCAGTTTATGGGCTTTGTTTCTTATACTGTCTCTGCTTCTCATATCATAGTGCACTGAAAGGCCTTTATGTGTATTCTTCCAGGGTCTCTAACATTTTCTACACATCAGAATCACAAACTATAGCTCTACCTGCCCTCCCAATATTTCTTCTCCCACTTTTCTGGGTGCCTTCTTGAAAGTGGCGGGGGGGGGGGTGATTAAGGTTTAGTTTAGTCTGAGCTTCTACTTCCCCAAAGCTCACATCCCCAGTTTTTCTTATATTTCCTATCATATTTTTAATCTCTTCCAGCCTTTCCTTCAACCCTACTTACCTATTGCAGTGTACCCTGACCCTATTCTGTGGCTTGTACATTCAGCCACACCTCTGCACAGCTCTTTGGCTCCAATTTATACCTGCAGAGTTTTAATTTTCTTAATGAAAAACAGTGGGTGTATTCTGTGCCAGAGGCAGGGGGCAGGCGGAAGAGGCACGTGAAACATAAGGCTGAAACACTGGACAGTATGTACCATGAGGATTTCAGCCAGCAGTGTAATAACAGAGAACGTTTATGGTGGCCACTTAGGCATTGCTTAATAATAATAATTGCCAAAACTAAGGAAATACATCACCAAAAAAAGAGGATAAAAGTCTATAGCAGTTTGTATAATGTTTACCTATACTTGTTTGTATGTATATTTGCAAATTTAGAAATGCTAACAAGAATTTAAATAGAATTAAGGCCCCCTGCTTGTCATGAGTGGAGCTGGCTTGGTCCGGGGGTCAGACTAGATGGCCCAGGAGACACCTTCTGACTCACTCTGTTTCTGTGCTCTCTCTCTTCTGATCATTCTTTATTTCTAAACTGGAGTGGCTAGTCCTTCAAATGTAGGACTGTCCTCTGTAAAGTAAGCCACAAGACTATTCTAGGAAAGAGATATAAATAATAGGGTAGTGGAAGTGGAAGGAAGTAGATAGCCTCACTAAATAGGTCCTTTTCACAAAGAAAATTGTGCCACACTGGGATTTCTTGTGCTGTGTGTGCAACATCACCCAGCTTGTAGAAGAGCATTCGTTTTACAAAGAATCTGCTGTGTGAATTTATTTATGTAATTTGAGATCTTTAAATCGCCCTAAGTGTTTTTGAAGCCACACTTCAGATTATAAGGCCAAAATTTTGTTTTTTAACGTGGTTACCAACATGCTTTGTCTTTAGGGCCATTTCTGTAATACTGTCCTATCTTGGCTGTTGTATGTTTGAAGGCGAAGCAATCTTCAACTCATGTGGGCTCAAAACAGTCAAGTGGACAGTATGTAGCCCCCTCCCAAGACAATACAGTTTGTATAATAATATAGTGCCAATATAGTGATTTGCATGTGTTGGCATGTATCTGCAATCAGAGCCCCTGCAGCTAAAAAACAGACTATTACACGCAATCCAATACCTGTTTGCTTAGAATTAAGTAGTTATTTTTGCTGAAGTCAACATGATTTGACTTCAAATGGAACAAGTCTTGCACTGGTCACATGTCCACACTTGAGAATCACCTTCTGAAAAACTGGGTTGGACCAAGATATGGCAAGTCATGATTTGACTACACTGAAGCATTTGTAAGACTTTCAGTTCTCACCAGTCCAATGGAAAAGCTAACTTTATATGCAGTCCCATCTAAACCCCACCTATGTTCAGTGAAGCTTACTTCTAAGTAAGGGAGCACAGCACGGCAAACAAAAAACCAAAAGTTCATTTCCAAATCTAAGTGTGGTTCAATACTGCTTACTCCCAAGTAAGCATGTTTAGGACTACTAGGGAGTAAGTCTGTTGAACAAAGTGGGATCTGTTTCTGAATGGGCCTATAAATCCCAGCATGGCTAGCTGAGGCACGCTGGAAGTTATAGATCTTTCTTCTGCCTAAACATGCCTAGGATTGTGCCTGAAGCAAGATTTAAAAAATTAAGTCATAGGAGTGCTGCAAGTCCTTTAACGAGTTATTTGCAAACAATCCCACATTTCCATTTGTAATGCTGTGCCCTGTGGGCTTCACGCAGCCTTTCCCCCATTCTCAGGAGCAGCCCCTGCTGCTGAGTTCAGTGGCACAGTAGCAGCTAAATGCATGGATAAAGAAATGACAGTTTGCTGCTGAAATTTGGAGGCAAAGCACTACAGAAACTTAAAAAGGACATACCTAGCCTGAAAAAAGCTGAAGCTGCCCATTCAAAGCTTTTACAGTGGTTTTACACTGAATTTCAGTGGCAAATCATTGCTTTTTTTCTTTTGGCCATGACACCAAAGTCAGAAGTGTGCCTCATGGGCAGTCCAAGGACTGAAAATGGCCCACAGTTGCTTACCCCTGTTCTATACAATCATGCCTAGGAATGTAGCCCTAGCAGATGATCTCGATGATATCAAACAATTCTGGTTTCAGGCAACCAACAGATAGACAATGAACAAAACAATATGTCAGGCTAAATAATGAAGTGGTTTGAACAATTTATATTTTAAAATGTTACAGATAAAGTGCTTAGATATCATGAGTATTTCTTCTTGCCAAAATGAAATTTAGAATTTGATTAGGACAAGAGCTAGGGTTCTCCAATTGATATATGGAACTGACATTTAAATGTCATCAAGGATAAGTTCCCTTCTAAGGTAGAATGTCTTCAGAGTCTGCAGGCTCCAATGGATAGTTACTGTGTTCAACTTTCCCCTGTCATCATCACCCTTTATGATCTTTAAACCCTTTGTTCCTTCTCCAGGTAACATCATTGGATCAGGCATCTTTGTGTCACCAAAGGGTGTGTTGGAAAACGCAGGCTCAGTAGGGCTGGCATTAATCGTGTGGATTGTAACTGGTCTCATCACAGCTGTGGGTGCACTATGCTATGCAGAATTGGGAGTCACCATCCCCAAATCCGGAGGCGACTATTCCTATGTCAAAGACATCTTTGGCGGGCTGGCTGGGTAAGAGAGAGTGGGTTAAGTGGAGTGGAGGTGGCTGGTTGGGCTGGAATTGGAGCAGGAAAGATGGTGGCAGGGAATGAGATTGACGTGGGGGTGGGGTTGTATATCTGTTTCACACCTATGTGCCTCCCAAGGTTTCTGCGACTATGGATTGCGGTTCTGGTGATCTACCCCACCAATCAGGCTGTTATTGCCCTCACCTTCTCAAACTACATACTGCAGCCGATCTTCCCTACCTGCCTTCCTCCGGAAACTGGACTGCGATTAATGGCTGGGGTCTGTCTTTGTAAGTACTGAACAGACTACAAATAGCAATGCACATTAACTAACATTGGATTGGTTTCAAGGGCCTGCAACTTGGAGGCAGTTTATAAGTCCATCGCAGGGCAACTGCAACCACGTACTAAACTGGTCCTCTATCAGGCCTGGCCATTTGTTACGTCATTCTCACAATGGAATGGGTGGGGGTGTGTGGCTTGTATGCAGCAAGTGAACATTGTCAATGAGTAATTCTCTGTACACATGCAATCCCTGTACAGTAGTTTGTATCAGCTGCCTTCATAGTGCAGGCCCTATCTGCATCTATTCAAGGACTCTGAGCTTTATTGCAGCCAATCTAGCTAGCTCAGGATAACAGTCTAAGGAGGGTTGTCATTCTCCCTTAGTATTCAAACCATATGCAACTATCCCTTAGGAACACACATAGTTATAGCCATCTCGGTGTTTCTATATGAGTAGTGGTTGCTGTTATAAACTGAATGAAACTGTGAAAACGAGAGATGGTGTACTTTGAGTGTTAAGATTTGGACTGGGGAGACAGGCTGGATACACTCTGGTTCATGAAACTTACCAGGTGATCTTGAGCCAGTCATTGACTCTGACAATCTACCTTACAGGGTTGCTCTGCGATTAAAATGGGGGAATCAACATCCATGCATGGTGCCTTGAGCTCCCTAAAGTTAGGGTGGTGTATAAAATATCAATCTATATGCAGTTTACATGCTAAAAGCACATATGCAGTTGCTTTAATGGAAAAAGTATGCATGTTTAACCTATGTTGATAATGTTGTTCTAGCTATTATAAGGTACAATGGCAACCTATCCTCTTAAAATATATTGTAATTTTACAATATAATTTTTAATATATCCAAGAGTTGACCTTTGAGCCTTGGAATGAAACTTGCTTCCTTCCTTATCTGAAATGGAGCTTTTAAGGAGCAGCTGTAGCTGCAGGCAAACAGATACTTGATATATAAACAACACTAGCTCATGGTTTATGTAACCCAAGGGTGGTTGAATCTGAGTTGTTGTGATGTGTGAAACCAGTCATGCTAACAAAACATGGCTTGCTAACCATAAATAAACTAGGAAGAACTTATGGTATATTGTAAACTCTAGGATGCTGTGTGCAAACCAGAACCATGGAACATTTTTGATTGTTTTGCCAGGCTACATTGGTACAACAACCACCACCACCACCTCTCTGTGTTCCAAAACTTGAATGCCATAAAGACATTTGGGACATGGGGAAGGCCTTTATCTTGCCATCATCCTGCTTCATTCTCAGAATTTCACCCATAACTCTTTTGTGCCTTCCCACTGCTTCATCTTTTTTACCTTCTCCATAAAATCTGTGAAGTAGAAAAAGATGGAACAGTTACACAGTGCTAGGAGCTTTCTATAGTCCCCACCCCTACGATGAATGCAATAGGGGAGTATAGGAGGGATGGTGTTAGAGGTACTGGAGTTACAAGGAACGGTCCCACACTAGGACGTCCATTCATCTTGCGCCACACCTTTGAGCCATCTGAGCCTCGTACCACTTATCCCCAGATAGACAGTTTCCCTGTGGATGCCTCCTTAGTCAGTGAAGGACTCATGAGTTCAAATAATGATTAGGATGGGTAATCTGTGCTGCGGTTACGTTAGGACATCAAACGCTGGGAAGATCAGGCAAGAACTGGTTTTGTTCCTTTCTTTCCAGCCCCATGGCAGGGGGGGAGAGAGAGGAAGGATGAGCGGTGGCCAGGAAGGGGGGCGGAGTTGGCTGAGGCACTTATGTAAGCCAGCTGCTGCAGCTCAGCAAGAGTTTATTAATCAGGTCAAAGCCAGTTATTCAGTGTTGAGTCAGCAAAAAGAGAGAGTGTATATGTTCATGAGAAAGAGAAGCAAGAAAGAAAACAAATCCATACTGCCAAACCCCAGCCATGAGGCACTACTTACTGGTGGGCTTTCTGCCTGAATCCTGAAGAGCTAAACATTAGAAGCAATGAAATAATATTCATCCTCAAATGGAAGGGAGGGACTGGGGAGAAAGAGCAAAGAAAGCCCACCAGACTGTGAATTCTGACCAACGGTTATCAAGAGATTCAGATACATCTGAGGGAAACATGTTTTAGCAGGAGAATTGGCACAGGGGAAGGCTGTGGGTGACTGTTGCAAGGTAGTTGTTGTACACTTGTAGGCTGAAGGCTAAAACTGGGTAGTGTCACCAGAGCCCTGCAAAGCAAGTTTTAATCTGTCTTATCTGGAATGCTGTGGTAGCTGCTTCATATCTTCATGTTGACATAAGCAAACAACCTAGAAGTGGTCAGAATGTTGTTTTCTTGTACCAATCTCAACTTGGCAGCCACAGAATAGCCTGGATAAATCTGCAGCTGCTTTAAGAAGGAAGCAGACATGCTGTGGAGGTGGCATTACTGGTCACTGACCTATCTAAATGAAGTTCTAGATCTATTTTGAGGTCGGGACTAAGGTGGCAGGGTGGCTAGTTTGGATCCATCTCTGGGACAGTGTGTGCTAAAAATTTAGCAACAGTTCTGAGCCACACCCTCCTGCTCCAGCGTCATCTTTGAGATTTCATGTCTGAAAGGATCCCAGGGTATCAGAAACTCACTGACCTTACTCCAGCCTTGCTGGGTGCCAGGATTACTGAGAAACTAGGGGACTTCCAGGAGTTCAGTCTCTGGATTAGAACAGAGTGAAATAACATATATTTATGACAATGCAAAAACAGCTCTCTACCCGCCTCCACACACACGTACATTTGAGATCTTCATTACAGTACCAGTTGGATCTTTCCACCCGACATAACACCACAAAACTTTCCGTGGAGTCCCATACTTAGATTCACCCATTCATGTTACAGCTATTCCTAGCTCATGCCATGATCCCATTTTGAAACACTAGCCAGCCCTGATCTATTCTTGGGATTTCACAGCTCTTGATCTTAGAGGTAAATTTATACTCTCTCAGAGATATTCAGAAACAGCTCCCCAATTTCCAAAAGTAATCTTATCTTAGAAAGGAGAGTGCACAGTCAGCATTAGCTCCTGATCCTGTCATCATAAGTCACTGATCTCTTATCTTCAGTGCCTCTGAAATCCCACATGGCCTTCAACCCCCTTGTGTCCTGTGAAATTCCTGAGAGGGATGATTTAACTCAGTGCCCTGCACTGAGCAGGGGGCTAAACCTGACGGCCTTCTGGCCCATTTCAAGTCTACTATTTTGTGATTCTATGAGAGCTTTGAGTGCATACTATTTGCCTCTTAAAATGCAGCATGCTCCTATGAACTGCTCTTTCATCTTCATGAGGAGAGTGATTAACACAGGATATCACTGTGTCTTTATCAGCTTCCAAATTATATGCAGTGACTGTACATAGCTTTTTCTACATGCAGATCCTCTACCTATTGGAAACACTTCACTGTTGAAGTGCACTAAATAAACAGACCTATCCTTGCTCCTTCTATCCCCTGCCCCCAAACTGATTTTCTGTTAAGCTCCAGGCTTCCTGTTTTTAGCCCTTCTAACTTGAACTTGATTGTGCAAAAGTGATTCTGAGTCAGCAGGAAAGTTTCCATTTCCTCTTTCTCTGTTAGGTTTTGGGGATCATTTTTAATTCTCCGCTCCCTCCCCTCAAAACAGAGAAGGGAGTGGAATGGGATGGGACAGGACACTGGGCAGAGCCCATATGGGACACACTCGCTGATACCTCCCCAAAACCTAGGCAGGTCAAGAGAGGCATAAACAGAATAACATTTGTTTTATCCTTATGTATGTGCATGTCATTAGGGCAGGGCTGTCAACCCTAAAGCTTAAAGGGCTTTCCAGGAATCCCAAATCTGACCTATGGTACCTTTAGTACACTCCACACAAGATTCAGAGTCTTTTCTAGGACTAGCATATATCTGAAATGAGAGCTTATCTGTTTTGGTTATTGGAAGTGGACACAGCAGTGGAAATGGTATCCAAGTTGTGGCTTCAGGGAACAATGCACTCTTGGGGTGCTCCTGGGGGAGCCAGCATGCTTGCTCACTCTCATGTGCTCACAAACCAACCATGTGTTGTTTAGTCATGATAACTGTAAGACGTTGTGTGTGTGGAAGTTGTCGTTCTGTATTTAAGAAAGTGTCACCATCCCATGCATACATTGCTATACGGAAGTTGGAAGGGTTCTAGCTTTGGACAGGAAAGAACTCCTGTATCATCCATGTTTCTGTGGTTGCACTGGGCACTGGAAGGGGTGGAGGCAGCATTTTCTGTTTGTCTGTCTCAGGTAAACCCTGTTTCAGTGGTCCTGGGTTACTCGGGGCCAGTGTCTGTTTGTGCAGACAGAATGTTTGGTGCAGTCAGGCTGGGAGCCAAATAGGTCACAGCCTCCCCCTCCCTCCTCTGCTTGTTTTTCATTCCCTTAAACCTCCAGGAACTTTACTAAGGTCCTTGTTTGTTTCTTTCCTTATACTGCCGTGCACATATTTAATCGCAGTTTACAATCCTTGAGGATGGGTCAGTTAGCCCAGTCCTCTTCAAATAGTAAGTAAAGGAGAGCCAAGTGAGGCTCTGTGGTCCTGAAAAATTGTTCTCTTTGAATAGCTTCGCCCTCAAACAGCTGTAAACGGAATATAATTGTGCCCTTGCGTTACAGGAAGATAGCGACAGATCTACAAATTATATAGCCTAGGTAGGCTGCAATAACAATCAGGGCCAAAGGCAAAGAAGGCTGTGGCTGCATAGCCAGCAAGTACTCCTTGTTCTGTGTCAAGGAGATGGCAATGCAACATCTGGATTGTCCCAAAGACATTGTGGCCTGCGTTACCTTGCTCAGATGTTGCGTCCTGCAGGGATAAAACTAGCCTTGATGGATACATGTGGGCCAAAGAAAGGAGAATGTTGACCGTCCCTTCCCCCACTGACTTCTCTGTTTCTTCTCAGTACTGCTGACTTGGGTGAACTGTGCCAGCGTGCGCTGGGCCACACGGGTTCAGGATGTCTTCACAGCTGGGAAACTGCTGGCACTGGGACTTATAATTGTCATGGGAATCGTGCAGATCTGCAAAGGTGAGGCCCAGTCTGGTCGCGCAGTGAAGGGGCAAGCGCTCTCCCTAGCGTGCTGTGTTAGTCCACTCAAAGGGAGTGAGCTGCTGGGTTTTAAACCTAGGGATATGGACAGCATTCCTTAGTAAGCTGATTTAGAGATTGGTTTGGTTTCCATAGTGTCCTGCCCCAGCCTGGATGGTGAGCTGGAGAATTAACAGATCTGGGAAGGGGGATAGAGAACCCCCTACCCTTCTAATGAATCCTTTCTCCATGTTCAATTTTTCCTCTTCACAGGTGAATACTTCTGGCTGGAGCCAAAAAACGCCTTCGAATTCTTCCAGGAGACGGACGTGGGTCTGGTGGCGCTAGCGTTCTTACAGGGCTCTTTTGCCTACGGGGGCTGGAACTTCCTCAACTATGTCACTGAGGAGCTGGTCGACCCTTACAAGTGAGTCAGGGACACCCTGATGGTGGTGGAGGAGACAGTGATCTACTCTGATCCGCATTCCCCTCTTTCACTTCAACTCTTTCTCCTCACAGGAACCTGCCTCGGGCCATCTTCATTTCCATTCCCCTGGTCACCTTTGTGTACGTCTTTGCCAATGTTGCCTATGTCACTGCCATGTCACCCCAGGAGCTGCTGGCCTCCAATGCAGTTGCAGTGGTGAGGCCCCATCTGCCCCCCACCCCGTGCATATTCCTTTCCCCCCAAATTCCAGGTGGAGCCACAGCTAAGCACTTGCTCTCTCCTTGTTCCCTTCCCCACAGACCTTTGGGGAAAAGCTCTTAGGAGTCATGGCATGGATAATGCCCATCTCTGTTGCCCTTTCTACCTTTGGAGGAGTCAATGGCTCACTCTTCACTTCTTCCAGGTGAGTAAACGTGGCCTCCACATTTCCCTCTCATGCACAGGCTGAAACCCCAGCAGCAGTGCTCACCCCGTCTGTATAATGCTGCCTTCCAACTGCTCCGTGCTGTAACACCTAAATTACGAGGAATTAAGTTGGTGCTTCATCCATTTGAGCCTTTTCCATCCTTTCCTTGGGAATTATCTGAAAGTATAGCCCACAGTGTGACTCTAGTGTAAAAACTTTCCTGGTGCTGATTAAAATAGGCCAATAACCTTTACCCCGCTTATTTTTTTGGTATTTTCTCTCCACCATTCCCAGACTCTTTTTTGCTGGAGCGCGGGAGGGCCATCTCCCCAGTGTACTCGCCATGATTCACGTACGACGCTGCACCCCCATTCCTGCTTTAGTCTTCACCGTAAGTCATCGGCAGAGAACCACGTGGGTGGATGCCCAGGCAGTGGAGGGCGCATGTGGGATGAGGGCGGGTCCCTGGCAGGGGCAGAACCACGAAGCAGGTGGACTTTCTAGCAATTCCCGACAAGGGAATTGGCGGGACTAGAAGGCCCAGAATAGTGACAATCTGGCAGACTAAAATCCCTGGGTCATTCAAGTGACATTGCTGTAACTGTTCATTTTTCATCTTTCTTCGTCTCTGGCAGTGCCTTTCTACCTTGCTTATGCTTGTGACAAGTGACATATACACCCTGATCAATTATGTGGGTTTCATCAACTACCTCTTCTACGGAGTGACTGTGGCCGGGCAAGTTGTACTACGCTGGCGGGAACCTCACCGAACCCGTCCCATCAAGGTACAAGATTCCTGTTACATGACCCTGTATGGGCTCCCATTGTTTTGCCTTCCCTTCAGACCCTGCAGGGTAGTTAGTAATTGACATTAGTAGTTTGACATTAGTAATTTAAATAAAGTTTCCAGTTTCTGATTGATATATTTCCTGAACAAACTTTAATACCAATTGTTTAGCAAAACACATGTGTCTCCAAACTAAACTAAACAGAGAGTTGGTGGGGAGGCAACACGTTTTCAAGCCATTTCTGCTACTTCTGGACTCCAGTTTGCAACAGCATGAACATTGCTGGCTTACTTCTGAAAATCAGCAGCAAACCACTAAAGAAGTCTACAGTATGCAACTCTTGCTTCCAAACTAGGAAGGTTTGTGTGCTTTAGGCAGTTTGCCATTATTTGGCTGGAAACTGGCCTTCTTTTCCTCTAGTATGGCATGTGCTCCAGGGGAACCAAAATAGCCTCTGGATCTCCTAAGTCTGCCCACCCCAACAAAGAGCTTTTATGCCCCCAGGGAACATAATCCCCCAAGCTGATGGTCATACAGTCCAGAAAACTTCTGCACTGCAGCATATTGTGAAATCAAAGATTTTTGTTTTGCTTTTTCTATACACATGTAAGGACATTAAACAAAATTGTGTCTACTAAACATAAGTGCTTCTCCAGTACAATGGAAAGAAAAGGCCATGCTGTTTTAGTTGTCAGAGTCTAAATATTAATAATTTGTTCCATAACAAAACCCATGATCCACTGGATCATATTAATGATGCTTGATCACACAAGTTACATATTTTGGACCATATTTTGTTCTTTCACATAGAAAAGCAGACTTCAGTACAGCATGTCTGATGAAGAGTAATCTATTTGGTTATGGGAGATAAAGCATAGACTTTCCTGTGTTTAATATGTACAGAAATACTTTTTCCACCCAGTTATTGTTAAGAACCATTTAATTTAAATTTAGTTTTACACGTTTAAATTTAGCCCTACATCCTAAACATACATACTAGGGAATGCACCTGTTGTAGACAGTAGGACTTAATCCCGAGTATACACGCATGTGATCCTACTGTATTATTTACATTAAAATAAGCAAAATCAGCACCTGATACTTACTTTTAATATAGCATCAACTCTTTCCCACCTGAATTTCCTGCTTGACCACATAAATGTGCCCCCCGCCCCAAGAGATGATATATTAGAACCCCTAACCCCTTGCGCTGGGTCTGACAGCTTGTACATTTAAGCCAGATTGGATGAGCCGTAACCCTCCAGGGTTCCAGGCACGTCTTCCCCTTGCTTTCTACCTGATCCTTTTGGACAGAAACACCGGGGACTTTCCACAGACAGAGTGTGTGCTCTGTCACTGTGCTGTGATTCATCCCTCCTCTGCTGGCCAAGCGCTAGCTAGGTGGCTGCTGGACAAACTACCCTCGTACCCCACCAACCTTTTCCCTGCCTCACCCTTCCCGGCATTCCTGCCCAGGCCCAACCCATCTCTTTCCTCCCCAGGTGAGCCTATTCTTCCCTATAATTTACCTGCTGTTCTGGGCCTTCCTGTTGGTGTTCAGCCTGTGGTCAGAACCGTTGGTGTGTGGCATTGGCCTAGCGATCATGTTGACGGGCGTCCCAGTCTACTTCCTGGGGGTGCACTGGCGGCATAAGCCACCCATCATCAACACATTCATTGGTAAGTCGGGGCAGACAGAGGATAGCTCAATTTGAGAGCTTGTGGGGTGCTAAAGCTGTGGTTTGGCTCGTTTTCTTGTTGAAAAAGCTCACCTGTTTCCTCCATCTTCTTCCAGATGTAGTGACTCGGGCAGGACAAAAGCTTTGTGTTGTCGTGTACCCCGAGATGGGTGCAGAGGAACCTGAAACAAACCTCGGCAAAGAGACCAAAGAGCAGCTTCAACCCATGTGTGGAACTGAAGACCTCAGCAGCCCACAGATCTGAGCCTTTTGGCTGCATGGGGGTGGGGGGTGGGGGTGGGGTGGGGTGGGGGGGTTGTAGAAGCGCCAGCCAGCCAGCCAGCCAACTATAGACTGCACAGTACCCTGGCTGGGGCTGGAAATGGGAGCTCCCCACCCACAGCGGATGTTCCTTCCCTCCTCCACGTAGCATCACACGCTGGGGTCGGATGAGCTGCGAGCGCTGCAGTAGCCACGCACCAGCTTCCTAGGATAAATCTTGGCTGGGTTTGGAGCACGCACCCCCATGGTTCCCTGCCTGCATTGAGCCCTGCTGGGGCTGGGGGAAAAACGGGAGCTCCCTTCACAGCGCACGAAACTCACACACTCTGCTGGAAGGGGCTCCCTCACTGCTGCCTTACGTTGTGGGGAACGTTCTCTTTGGGTTTGGACCTCATCTGGGGGAAAGGATTCTCCCCCTTGGTTCTGTGTCCTTATATTTTTCCACATTGCTGTCTTTCTCTCTTTTTTGATGAAATAAATTAAACTCAAGTTGCCATCTCTGTTGCTTTAAATGCTGGTCTGTAGGATGTTGAAACGTCATTTAATGCACACACGTGTTTGTCCAAGCGACTCCAGTTTCTCATTGGAATTATGTGGTAGAGATAGATAAACATGGGCTAGAAAACACACCTGCCCTTTAGGCAAGGACTGTGCTACTTTGATGGGAGATGCCCACTTTGTTCCATGTAATTTAAAAAGAAAAAAAGTCCTGGTCCACAGCATATGTCTAATAAAAGCCAAAAGGCTTTAGTAAGATTTTTTTTTTTTTTAGGAAGAACATATTGGTAGCTAACATGGAAGTACTGGAGAGATCTTATCCAGTGAGGAAATGCATTGATTTCTTAACTCCACTGGCTTTGAGGTGAAACATAAAAACTTCTGGTATCGGAGGAATGGCCCATGCTACTCTGTCAAACCTGCCACTCCAAAGCATGAAAGGCCTTTTGTGGGTCAGACAAAAGATCTGTTTTAGTGTAGCAGCATGTTTCACACATGCACAATATATATTCCAAGAAACCTAGCAGGCAGGATATGAAATCTCCCCTAGCAACTGGTATTTAATATGATAAACTGCTCCCTCCAAACACATATTTAATTGTTCCAGCTAGCAGCCATTCATCTTCCATAAATTTATTTAATCCCTCTTTAAAGCCATCTAAGCCAGTGGCCATCACCACATCTTGTGGTAGTAAATTGCACAAATTGTGTGCTTCGTGATGAAGTTGCTAGACTCTGTCTTAAATCTACTGCCAGTCAGTTTCATTGGTTAATAATCCCTATTATGGAAAAGGTTCAGTCTACCTACTTTGTGCACACCATGCATAATTGCACAGACTCCTCTATCTCGCCCCACAGTCTTTTCTTCTAAACTGAAAAGCCTTTCATGCTATAACTGTAGGTAATGCACTCCTAAATCTTGATCTGCATTGTCCTTCTCTGTACCTTCCCAGCTGAATATTCTTTTGGAGGCTGGACAGCCTTTTTTTTTTTTTTTTTTTTTGGTTTTCTTTTCTGACCATAAGGTTGCCACTAGGGAAAAGTTAAACTTTCTGTAAGAGGTCCACAGATCCCAAGAAGCTGAGTGTACATCTCTGTTCTAGGGACACTCGGAGGGGAAAAACACACCTCCCCCACTTCTAAATTACCTAGAATTCTTGTCCAGGCTCCATCTAGCTGTGAAGTAGTTCTTCTGGCCCCAGGGCTCCATCTGCTGGATCCAAAAGACACTGTAGAGTCTCTTAGGAAAAGCTCATCCTTTCAGCTCCAACATGGCCCTTGGAAGCAGGCAAAGGTTAGGCGTTATCACTCGGCGGTGCCATTTTCTATCTTACATGGGAGTTTTCAGCTGACGTCACAGCAAATATGTGAGATTGCTTTTCTGTACAGACAACAGCTTGGCGATATCCACAAACGGCAGAGGAGAGCGGTTCACGGGCGCCTTTTGGCACCTTGTGCAATCGTGGCAGGAAAGCGAAACTTGGCTGTGTGATACAGTGAAGCTAGGAAGCTAAAGTGGGCCACCCAGACAACGGGGGGACAGGCAGGACTTCTTCTCCCACTGCATATTTAACCTATGAAAGGTGCCCCCACAAGATGTAAGGATGGACTTCAACCTGGGTGGCTGTACAAGCGTAGACAAATTAAGGAAGGATACGTCTCGCTCTAGCATCTAAGGCAGCGTGCCTGTGAATACCAGTCGCTGGGGAACACCAGTGGGAAGGTGTCATGGGATTCATGCCTGCTGTGGCTTCCTGTGGACATCCGGCTGGCCACTGTGGGTAGAGAAAGCTGGAATAGATGACCTTCGGCCTGACCCAGCTTGACTATGAGTATCTTTTCCCCACAAGGCAACAGCTGCCGCCCCCAAACCTGGCACCCTCCGGATGTGGTGGCTTTCAACTTCCGTCCTTCCTGACATTTGATGATGCTGGCTAGGGCTTAGGAGAACTGCAGGCTGTAACATCGGGAGGTCGCAAGTTACCTATCTATAGTGTCAAAGTTGCATAAGGAAGGCTATGGCCAGGGGTTACAGAATGGTAAGAGTGTGGAGAAATCAAACATATTTGTGTTTGTCTATTTATGAAGGCAGACAGGCCTATCACTAGAACAGAACCTCCAAATTTAGGCACAGTTACCAGTTTGTGGAGAAGGGGGCTACTGTGGGCTTCTGGAGTCACATGGTTGGCCACCCTACCAAGCAAGGTGAGTCTTTCAGCCAAGGGCCAAATTCCACTTTGGAAAAGCTGGCTCCTGGTTTCTATCGGAGGGGAGACCAAAGACCAGGCCCCAATTAATAGTAGATTGTAGTTTCAGGTTCTTACTGGCAGGAACTAAGCCTTGGGAGAGGCAGTCTAAACTTTTAGAATAGGGAAAACGCAGCACAAAAGCTGGGAAATCACGGAACAATAGATGGTTGGGCAAGAGGAAGGGACATGGCCTGGGGGCTGGATTGGGACCACAGTTCCAAGAAGCTGGACTCTGTGGGGATTATGTCCAAGGCAGGGCCCTTTTTATGCTCTTGGGAGATGGAAGTTAAGTTGGCCGTTGCTGTTGAATGGGGGTACGGTTTATGCTGGGAAAGAAAGAAAGAAAGAAAGAAAGAAAGAAAGAAAGAAAGAAAGAAAGAAAAGGGAGGAAAGAAAGGAAAGGAAAGGAAAGGAAAGGAAAGGAAAGGAAAGGAAAGGAAAGGAAAGGAAAGGAAAGGAAAGAAAGGTGTGTTCTCAGGGCCATGCACGGCCAATCATGATGAGCAAACCTCCAGAAGAGGGTGAGGAACATCGGGGGAAATTGCTGGGTGAATTAGGCTCGCTGTTACGAGAGGAGCTGGGGTGCACCTTCAAAAAAGAGGAAGGAAGGGGAGGGAGACAGAAGGAGGGAAGGAACAAGACAACAGAGAAAGAGGGAACAAGGCGCAGACAGAGAGAGGAAACGAAGCAGCGAAGGTAGAAGCAAGCGGAGGGGAGAACAGGAATAAAAAGGCTGCGGAGAGAGAAATAGAGGAACAGCATCGGGCGTCCCTGGAAAAGGAGGGAGAAGACACCAACAGACTGAAAATTCAAGGAAAAGCCATTTGCGTGTCAAAGAGAAAAACAAGCAGAAGAAACAGTGGAGAACAAGAAAGACACGCACTAAGCTGGAGTGCTAAGAAAGAAGATATAAAGGACCCCCCGCAAAGGGGGGACCAGCGAGAGGAACGTTCAGAGACAGACTGGCAGGAGCCAAGTGTGCTGCAGCCGCCCGCTGGCCCTGGAGAGAGGGGAGAGAAGCAAGGCGACTTGGCACCATGTCCCAGGGCGGGTACTTCGAAGGTGAGCGGCACTACCAGGCCCTGGAAATGGCTCCGGCCCGGCCTGGGGCCCCCGAGCTGGGCCCCCTCTGTGAATCGGAGCTGGCTTCGTACATTGGCGACGAGCAGCTGCTGTCGGAGTTGCTCCAAGGAGCTCAGCAGAGAGTGCCCAAGGGCTCCCCGTTCCCCAACTACTTCCCCGGGGAGCCGTACCCCTACTTGTCTTACGGAGGTGAGCGCAAGGGCCTTGTGCCCTTTGACCCGCGGTCTGTCGCCGTCAAAGAGGAGCCGCGAGGCGGGGATGTGGGGCGGGCCGATGGACGCCACCCCTACAGCACCATGCATTTTCCAGCCACCCACTGTTCCCAGGCGGCCCTCGCCCAGCCAGGAGCGCGTGCTGGACAAGCCCTGCGAGTGCTCAAGGTAAGAAGACCGGAGGCCCCTGCCCACCTGCTGCCCTCCTTTCACCCAGTTAAGATGCTCCCTGCCCTGAAACTCTTAAACCCTTTCAGAACTTTATTCTTCACTCAAGCCTGATATCCGTAAGCCGCACTTATCTTCCGATCCTTACAGTGTGGCCAGTGAGTATTTGTGATTCCTTCTTTAGCCCCACTGAAGTGCAGAGCACTTTCGAGAGGACAAGAGGATGGGTTCCTGCCCTGGGAGGCTTACAATCTACAGTGCAACACAAGGGAGAGAACCAAGGAAGGGAGAAGGAAGTGGGAGGCAGGGGTAGACAGAAAGAAGATGTGGTTAATCCGGTTACACGTACAGAAGGCTTCTCTGCAAAGGTACGAGTCTTCTGCAACTGGGTGCTCTCCAGATGAGTTGGGCTGCAAATCCCATCATTCCCAGCCAGCATGGCCATGCTAACTAAGAACGCCGGGAGCTGTGGTGCAACCCATCCGAAATGCATCAGGTTGGAGAAGGCGGCAGTCAGGTATGGGAACTAAGTTCCACACCTGGGTGGCTCTCCCTCTCTCCAAATTGGGTTTCTCTTCTTCCCAATCCACTGTAAGTTTTGCATCCTGGTTCCTTTCTCTCTGGAATCAGAGTGCTGGCGGGTTCTTCTTGATCGCAGCAAAAAATCCATTCAAGAGGAAAAGGCTGAATAGTCACACATTGGCTTCTGATTCTCAGCGGCAGATCCTCTCCACCTGGAAGAACTTTTCCTCATCCCAAACAAGCAGTCCTCACACACCAGACAAAACTTCTGCAGAATTCCAGATTGCAAAAATGCTCTGTGTTTCTACGTTTGTTCTAAGGAAGCATCATAGAATTTGAGCCTCATGGTCAGATGATGACGATGATAATACACATTTTTGCATTGCCCAGTAGCCCAAAGACTCTGGCCAGAGAACAAGACCAAAGACGTAAAACGAATGCACCACGGCAAAACGATAAAACCAATAAAATGGCTAAAACAATCCATTATTAAGGAGAAGGCGCTCTCTCTGACTGAGAGCCAGTGTGGTGTAGTGGTTCAGAGCGTGGGACTGGGACTCAGAGGATCTGGGTTCGAGTCCCCGCTCAGCCATGGAGCCAACTGGGGGACTTTGGGCCAGTCACAGCCTCTCAGCCCAACCTACCTCACAGGGTGGTTGTTGTGGGGATAAGATGGAGGAGGAGAATGATGCAAGCTGCCTTGAGCCCTTTGTAGGAAACAGGCAGGATATGAATTGAAAAAATAAATAAACTTAACCTCGATTATTCGCTTGTGCAATGAGCCCCTTTCTCCCAGCTGCCATGCCTCCTAGGACCCAGGCCGCTCACTCTTCTTTCCCACTCCCCAGGGCCCGCCTTGCAGCCCGTCCCCAGCCTGTGGCAACCCCAAGGGGAAGAAGTCCATGAACAAAGACAGCCTGGAGTACCGCTTGCGCCGGGAGCGGAACAACATCGCTGTGCGCAAGAGCCGGGACAAGGCCAAGCGCCGGGTGATGGAGACTCAGCAGCGCATGGTGGAACTCCTGGGAGAGAACGAGCGCCTGCGCAACCGGGTGGAGCAGCTGATGCAAGAGACAGAGACCCTCCGCGACATTTTCCGCCAAGTGCCCGAGGCCGCTGGGCTTATCAAGGGGCTGGGGGGCTGCAGTTGAAGACCGGGAGGCAGGGAGGCAGGGCGGGCAGGCGGGCGGCCGGCCGGCCGGAAGGAGGTGCCACCTGGAATTCAGAGGGTGGGATTCGGAGTGTGTAAATAAAAGGATCTCTCGTGGTAGAGACTCACTTTGGTCCTCTCTGGCTGACTTTACTTTTCTGCAGGAGAAGCTCCCTTACCAAGGCAGGGCCGGCCCCAGACGTTGTGCTGCCGAGTCAAAATGGACTTGAAGCCACCCCAGCTCTGGCCGCAGGACCCTGTCACGCCTGAATAAATTAGGCTAGCTTACAGAACTTAGGCCAGGCTGAGAGGCCATGCCCCTCTTCGTACTCCTAAGAGCAGAAAACCCAAGAGGCCACCTCTGCGGCTTCCCCCCAGCCTTTGCTGCATGAGGCCGTTGGGGGTGGGGCTCTTTTGGCCCAAGGACCAAGTTCCATATCAAAAAACCTCTTGGGGTCTGCAGTCCAGTGGCGTTAGGGCTGGAGGCAGATGGGGGTGAAGCCAAAACACCAATGTATTTTAGCATAAAAGTCCTTCCTGCCAGTAACTAAACCTTGGCAGTGCCATTCCATCCTTTTGGAATAGGAGGGAGGGAATGGAACGATGCTGGGAAGCCAACTGGGAAATCGATTGGTGAATGGGGAAAAGGGGTTTGCTGCTCCGGGTCTTGTAGTGGGAAGCATAATGCCAGAGGGTGCAAATGGGGCAGGCGTGGGGTCTTCATGGCTCCCCCCAGCACTCTCCCCAAGCTTCCTTCCTCGCTCAGCAAAGGGGCAAAGCACCTGTCGATGCGAGCGGTGCAGAAGCAAGGAACTCGCGTGCAGAAATGAGCCAAGTGATGCCGATTCACAAAAATCTAAGCCCACCCTGGAGAGCAGGGACGTGAGTTGGAGCTTCTGGGCGCTGCTCGGCGTCCGGCCTGCTGGTCTTCCTGAGCCGGGACACTATGGGAGGAGGAACCACACCAGCTGCTCTCCTCCTGGCCAGCCTTCCACACGACACCAGAGGCGGGGAATCTTTCAGGTTCCGGAACAGCATCCCCCACTCATGGCTAATCCGGAGGGCCAGGTGATGTCTGTGAGTGGGGACCTACCTCACCAAGGTCATCCATGCTGCTTTTCTGCTTGTAGGTGCAGGGAAAGGGGCTTGGGAGGCTGAGATGGCCATCACCTCCTGGCACCTCCCGGCCGCATCCACTGTAATGCAGAGGGGCATCCCCGTATGTCCGTATGCAGAAAAGGCCTAAGTGGGTGAATACAGGCCAGCCCCTCCCCGGCACAGCTGTTATCTGTGTGGCTGAGGATGATGGAAGTTGAAATCCAATACATCCAGTTGGGGAAGCCGTTCTCAGTCACACACTCCCGTGAAAGCTGAACTGCCTGGATCAAGAGGAGGAGGGGGGCATGCTGGTCCCAACAGAAAAGAGAAGGCATTGCATTCAACAAGCCATGTGTGCACGGATTTTCCAGCATTCATTCAATGCAAGAGAAGAAGAGAATGCAGAGGAAGACAAGAAGCAGTGTAAGCCCAGCTCAGATGATCTGTCCCTCTTAGACTCGTTCTGTCCCCTCAGGCTGGCGCACTTCCTCGGGGTGTTGGGCAGGAAGGGTCTTTCCAACCACCAGGTTTTAGAGATTCTCAGGGATTGAAACTCAGAGCTGCAATTGCCTCCACTCTGAGATTCTGCAATATTCAATTTACAAGTGAGCTGCACACATGGAAATGTCAAAGTGTTTGAGCCCTTTTCCGTGTGTCTAGCAAATAAAAACGGCAGCACAGACACGACTGCGCTGCATCACCGTCGGGAGGGTGCTGAGGAACAAGACACTGAGAGAAGCCTTTTCTGCTCTCACAGGCCTAAACCCCAAGGTCATCCAATGACATCCGCAGCTGATTAAACTGAAGTTCAGAGCCATCATGTGTGGCAATGGATTATTATTATTATTATTATTATTATTATTATTATTATTATAACATTTCTATGCCGCCCCTGGCGAAGCATGGATGGCCCTGGTCTCTGATGGCTTTCCAAGAGGGGGAGAAGTAATCTAATATTACTTCTAATTTCTAATCTAATAATTATAATATTATTGATACTATTATTAATTCTATCATTAATAGTAATCGAATAATAGCCAGGTAGTCTAATGGCTACATGGAAGCACCGCATTGACCGGTTGTCCATCCCTGAACCCCGGATGCCAAGAACCAAGAGCAGGAGGTAGCAACAACCTCCTTGCTTCGCTGGTGACCCTGCCCACAGGGATTAGCAGAAGGTGGGATTCGAGTGACCGGGGTTGTGATCCAGCAGATCTCTTCCAAGGAGTGTATGTCACCACACCAAATCCATATTCCAGCTCCTTGGCCCAAGCCAATGCAGTCTTTTTCTAATGCAGGGATTCCCCGCCTTTCTGGGTTGGTGGGCACACTTGAAATTCTGAGAGGATGTCATGGGGACTCTCAGAAATAGGCTGGTGTGGAGTTGCTCGCTCGTTCCTAACAGGGTAACCCTGGTGGGTGTAGCCACTCCCAAACCGAAGGGTTCGCAGAAGACATGCTGACGATCCAAGAAGCTGAACAAGGGCAGAGAGAGGACCTCAACTGCTAATGCCAAAGGACACGTCTTGATTCCATCATCCCCAGCTGCCACGCATCTGCAAGCAACCCCAGACACTAGTTTCTTCTGAAAGGATGCACTTCAAACTACCATACTCAGCTGAAGTCCACATGGGGAGCAGGGCTTTTCTTGGGTGAGAAGCTGGTGCCAGAGGCTAGCACCTTGCAGCCTGCCAAACGCTCAGTCAAAAACAAAGCAAAACAAGATTCTAACCACAAAATAAATAAAAATCAGGAGTTGCACAGAACTTAGTGGCTATGCCCAGTTCTCTCTGGGCAAGTGGGACCAAAAATAAAGCAGAGAGATTCCCACCCAACCCTCCAGCAAAATTTATTCCTGCAATGCAGATCTCTGGAGCCCATTTTTGCATGTTCCCCCCCTCCCTCCCTCCCTCCCTCCCACACACACACACACACACACACACACATTACACAAGCCAGCGGTTGGTGTTACAACCTCTGGAGAGAACAGCTTTTGGATGGAGGTGATGCGACGTTGGGAACCATCCAGCCATATCTGAGACCCTACGGTTGCGTCCCAACGCCGACCTGGCACCCCCTTTCAAAGAGCCCCCATGCCTTGCAGAATCCTCCATCACGTAAGGTCTGGGACTTCAACGCCCTCCCCCCAGCACCCTTTCCACAATTTTATTGCCCCTCTGCATCCAGGCACGGGTGCAAAGGAGCCAACCTCAAGGTAATCCAACCCCTCTTGCATTATCTTGTGAAACAACCTGTTACGCCACCAGAAAGGAGAACAAAGGCCTGCCACAGACCACAACCTCTTCTTTCCCCCAACTCTGTCCACAACACACCATTCTTGTAAGTGACCGCAACGCAGAACAGACCAGAGTGGGGAGTGCGACCCCAGGTGGAGGCAGGCCCCCCGCCTTCCTTCGTCCATGTCTCCGTTCCCCCACGACCCGGGGCTGGGGGAGAGGCGGTACCTGCCAGCGATCGCATGCCACCTGCTCACCTTCCCCACTGCCCCCCCTTCCCCCCAGCCCCAGCGAGCTAGGCTCAGCACAAACGGGCCGGGTTTGTGCAACCTCCAGACACACTGCTGTGCCGGAGAGGCCGAAAGGGAGGCAGGGAAGAGAGGCGACACACTCTCCCTCTGCACCCTCTCTGCATGCCCGTCGCTACTGCAGCCTTCTGCATCTGGTGCCCCCCGCTGCACCTTCCAACACGGCTGGAACGGTCCCGGTTGGGGGACGCAGCTATTCTTCCATGTCCAGTCTCCCCGATGTATGGTTGTTGTGAGTCGCGAAGTCGTGTCTGACCCACCACGACCCCATGGACAACACTCCTCCAGGCCTTCCTGCCCTCCACCATCCCCCAGGGTCCACTCAAGCTCACGCCAACAGCTTCAGTGACTCCATCCAGCCACCTCATCCTCTGCCGTCCCTTTCTTCTTTTGCCCTCTATTGTTCCCAGCATCAGGCTCTTTCCCCAATGTATGGTGTCCTGCTGTTTGCTTGTGGACATTTTCCACACTAATTCTGGCTTCAGGTTGTCATCTCACAGGGCTGGCCCAAGGCAGAGCTGACCAGCTCCCTCTCAGGCACCCCACGCCCAGCCAGTCAAGGTACCAAAGGGTGGCCATGCTATTTTGGACAGAAAGACTTTCAAGTGACTTTCTCCCACCTCGCCGGGAATAAGAAATTATCAATAAATTATATAATAACCTTTCACACCCTCCCCCCCAAATCAACTGCCCACTCTGTTTAACAGGATGGGCCTTTCCACCTGGTGGCTTGTCCAGTTGAGTAACAGGCATGGGAAATCCAACAGATGAAGCGGCTGTTCCCGCCACTGCATCCCTATGGCAGAGGAAGCTTTACCAGTTGAATGTCTCCTCAAATGTGCAATGGTGAAAAGCAATGGGCTGCAGACATTAAGATCTGGATGCCCAAGATCCTAAACTAAACCGTGTCAGCTGAATCTGGGGCCGCGGGGAAATGCTTTTCCCCCTTTCCCATTTCTGTGCCGAGAAATCCCCGCCTCTCCGCCCAGCAGCCCCCCAGGCGCTTGCGGAGGAGCCACAGAAAATTCCCCGGATGCATATCCGTGTCACGTGGGGTGCCAGCCAGGGTGTCTTGGGTCAAGCAGAGTCAGGCCATGCAGCGTGTTCTCCAGGGAGACTGGCCTGCCGTTCCAGCTCTCCTCCATGTTTTCGTGCCAGGGAATTCGAGAGGATAAGCTTCCAAAGAATCCCCGTTTGAGAAGTCTCCCTCCAGAGAGCAGTCCATAAAATGTTTGCAGTGGGGCTGGCACTTCCTCTTCCCATAAGCCCCAGCCAGCAGGACCCACAACGAGGGCTTAGGACAGCACCTCGTGGTCCAAGATGCCTGGTGGGAACCTGGCTGCCCAGCCGGTTCTGGTGCTCCGGGAGGCAGTGCTGGGCTCCGGGTCTGGGAGGGCTCTTGGGAAGGACACTCCCCACACGCCGCCTCCTGCAGTGAGCCCACCTTCTCCCCACCAGCTGTGCCCCCCACTCTCCCCCCGGTGTCGCCTCCTGCATGGGGGAGAGGACTCGCAGGAAGCAGCATCCCCTGCCCTTCCCCTTCACTGTTTCTGCGCCAGATTCAGGGCAGGCTTCGAAAGGGAAGAGGGGCATAAAATGTTTTATAGATGGTGCTTTTGGCCAAATCGATTAGCAAAAATGTTTCCAAATATGTCAAATGGATGTTGGAAATGCAAACATAAACCTGGTACTTTTTATCATGTGGTGGACTTGTGATAAGGCCAAAAAAAAAAAATATTGGGCTAAAATACATAAATGGCTTGAGGAAATGTTACAAAAATCTGTAATATTTAAACCTGAAGTCTTTTTATTAGGCATTGTGTCTGATGATGTTGACAAACAAGCAACATATTTGATTTTACATGTAATTACTGCGGCAAGGACTGTATTTGCCCAACAGGCACGAAGAACCACCCACTGATTGATTTTAAAAAAAGGTCTTGGATTGCGCTGAAATGGACAGGCTGACTTTGTCTCTGAAGGAGAAAGAGGATACGTATTTCTATTAAACTTGGAACTCTTTTTATTATTGGCTAGAGAAACGGGACTATGCGTAGATGTGAATATGGCTATGGATTGTTATTAAAAAAAGGAGGGGCTGACCCAGTATGTCCGATGTCTTTGATGATTGATGATTTTAGTTTTTTTGTTTGTAGAAAGTAATAATAATAAAACTTATTTTAAAAAAAGGAAGAAAGGGAAGAGGAGCAGAGCCCAGAGACTCTTCTCAGTGGCCCGGCTGGGATGCGCTTCTTTGACCCATGGCCAATGAATGCCCACTCTCCACACGAAGAGAGCTGCTCCCGATGGGTTGGGGCTGTGAGGACCCCTAGTGGCTGCAGGTGGCATGAACATGCATGGGGAGTCGCCTTCCACCAGGGTGGTCTTTTCCCATTTGGGCCAGTGCGGTTTGTTCACAGGCAGGGAGACGGTTTTCCTTCCCCTCCCCTCTTACCAGACCCTATTCTCTCTCTCCAAGCCACTATCCTAAGTCGGAGATGCCTCTCTCAGCCTGCAAAGCGCTGGTCCACCACCTGGTCAGATTAACGTAGGTCGTCTGTCTCAGCTGTTCCTGCAACAAGCGATGGGCTTCCAGCGACGTCCCAAGGCCACCCCCCCCAAGCCCCTCGCCAGGTTTGGACAAAACAGGAACCTGCACACCATGACGGTAACTAGACAAATTGTGTCGCGTACAACTAGCACGGTGGGGAAAAGATGCTGTTGTGGTTTTGTCCTCGCTCCCCTGTGATTGTACAAACCGAGCGGTTGCGCAAGATGGCTGTCCTCTTGAGCCAACGGTCCCAGGTTGCTCGCCAAAAGGGGCAACAGAAAAGGAAGAACATGAGAAGGCCTCGGAGTCACGGAGCAGTGGGGAACGGCGACGCAGACAGAAGCTGGCAGGCTCGCAGCCCTTCCCCAGAGCTTGTCTCAACTAACGGCGCTTGGCGGAGAACCAAGTATCTCGGCTGACCCAAGAAAGGAATGATCGCAGGCCCCACTGTAGCGACACAGCTGGGAGGGGGTGTCAGGGAAGAGGAGCTCAGCTCGGCCGGAGGCTGGGAACTGGCTCCATGTACGGTCAATTGCAAGGAGTCAACAAGTTCGTCCAGGCCCCTTCATCCACAAGGCTTCCCTGCAGCAGCTTGGCAGGAAGCTCTTGCGACATGGCCTTGCCGTGCTCTGTTTTATCTCACCTTCCGGAGGATTGATGGCAGGCCTGACCCAAGACACCGCCAAGGGCTTGGAGACCGGCAAACACAACTTCTCTCCTTGCGTCTGGGAGCAGAGCGCAAGACAAAGTGACATCACCCGGCCCTCCCCAAGCTGTTGCCTTCGGATATGTTGGACTGCAACTTCCAAGGGGCAGCTGCAAACCATGGGAACGCCCTTCCAGGACTTCCAGAGAATCTCAGGCTGAGGAAGACCAGTTTAGAGAGGAGCCGCAGCAATTCCAAGATGCAGGGTGGGCTGGTTTGACTCAAGATGGTCCCAGCCTAGCCTGGGGTCACCTTCTTTCTGTTGCAGTCCGGGGGATGGCCGTGTCGGCCTCAGTACTGATACTGATCGATGCCCCCTCCCTCATGGCGCGTTCTAGAAGTGGTGCAGTCCAGAAGCTCCCTGCCTCATGGGTTTAAAGGCCAAGCTGCACATGCACGGGATAGAGCCGGCCCCGTCTTATGCTTTTGCATCCCGATTAGCAAGTAGAGGGGAAGGCACAGCTTGACTCCCCCTTCAGGCAGCCCTCTATTCCCCTGAAGAAAAACAGAGGACGCCACTGCTAATGAGGAACATGGATTGGTACAGGATCCTGCTGGCACAGTTTGCACGAGAAAGCCGAAGAGGGTCATGCAAAGGAGGCTGTTGCATGGCAGATCTGAGGCACGCTGCTTGCGAAAATGGAGGCGCAGGGAAAAGCTGAACGAGGAAGATCAAGTTCCATTGTGTACTGGCAAAGAAATCCCAACTTGCTTGGGTTGGAAGAGCCCTCGATTGGGAAAATATCAAGTAGATGCAACAGCTGTCGGAGCTGTAAGCAGATTCTGCCCACCCTGGCTGAGTGGATCACAGCCCCTGGTAGCCGTTTACACCTTTTCTCTAAATGTGAGCTAACCCACTGGGGAGGGGAAGGGCAGGCTTACAACTCCATCCCTCTGGCTGCTAATCCCAAATTTCAAACTACATAGATGGCCAAGCGGCTGCTGCTTTTGTGTGGACTTCAGCCACATGGGTACTTTTAAATTCATTTAAAAACAATGAATGCGTTTAAAAAACGAAAGAACCCCAAGGCGCAGCTCTGCAGGGCCTCTGTGATATGGTGCGCCAAGTTTCAGTGTCCACATTCCAGGGTCTTGGTACTCTGACAATGGGATGGTCTGATGGACCCGTGCTCTCTTTCATGAGAACAGCCACGGTTTGAACATTTTGGGTGTTGCATTTGTTTCCTACAGACCCTTAGCTCCCTTGGGCTTTATATGAGAAAGTGAGAGATATACATCAAATAAAATAATACATTTCAGCACGATAAATCCAGATTTTTTAAACATTCACTTAAATCATGCCTTCCTTCCAGGGTGAAACTCATTGTAGTATTTGTTTGTTTGTTTGTTTGGAGTTTTTGTATGCCGTCCCATTCACATAAGCCTCGGGACGGCTTCCATACAATTAACAAACATAAAAATAGTATACATAAAATCTAGATTCACCCTGGCTATAGAAGTAAAACCAATAGATAATATTACACATTGTTAAAATATTGTTTAAATAAAAAGGTCTTGACCTGGCACTGAAAAACAAATAACGACGGCACCAGGCAGACCTCTCTGGGGAGCGCATTCCAGAAATGGGGCGCCACCGCAGAGAAGGCCCTCCTCCGGGTACTCACCCTCCTAATAACTTTCACGGAGGGCTCCCGGAGAAGGGCCTCTGCTGCCGATCTCAAGGGGCGGGAGGGCAAATATAGAAGCAGGCGTTCCTTCAAGTATCCAGGTCCCAAGCCGTTAAGGGCTTTGTAGGTGATGACCAGCACCTTGAATTGAGCCCGGACTTCGATGGGGAGCCAGTGAAGCTGGAAGAGGACTGGGGTTATGTGAGAGTAACGCCCAGTCCCCGTCGGCAACCTGGCAGCTCTATTTTGCACCATCTGAAGTATCCGGACTGTCTTCAAGGGCAGCCCCACGTAGAGCGCGTATGTATAGAGTTCTCACGTTCTCTCCCATCAAATCACCAATCAGATCCAGACAAGTTTAGCTTCAGCAAAGATCACATACCCTTAGACTGCAGAGGGTCAGAAATTCTGGAAGCTGCAACCTTACATCCGTATGGCCACAGGTTCCCCGGCCAACTGCAAGACGTGTCCTGGACTGGTGAAGTCATGGGGTTTCCATGGGCAGCTGCTGGGCCCATGGTCTAATCCCCTCCCTTAAGTCAGTAGGCACCAAGCAATCTTTAAAAAACAAAATTCTATGCATATTTAGGGGGGAAAATGTCTTAGAACCCCCAGCTGGCTGGGGGATGCCGGGAGTTCTGAGGGGGTTCTTTGCTCTAGCTAAAAACAGATTGTATGCTCAGTGATGCTTACATCCAGAAGGGTTTGTGTTACCTGGCCATGTTAAGGCTGGTTTTTTTAGGATTACACAATTACATTTAATCTATGAAAGCTACCTTTAGATCGTGAAGACCTCTGAAAGAATTTTTTTTCTCATTTAAGACTGTGGCAAAATGCCTTCCACTGTCATTGCATCCCAACTGATTTAAGACTGCCTTCCCCAATCAGGTGCCCTACAGTTATCTTGGACTATAATTCCCACCATCCTCAGCCAGTAGCGCCACTGAGGCCAGAAGGATGCAGAAAGCTAATTTCAGACCCTGTGATCCTGCTACAATAGAACTGAAATCAGTAACAGAGAAAGAGACGTCTAAGTGGGGGAAAAAAATCCAGGTCGACCATTTTCAGCCCATTGGAATATTTTAATCCTTTGCATTTGGCATGTAATATTTATTCTGATTTGTTACGACTCACGGTCACACACGGTTTGGTGAGTTACTGGGGGAGTCGGTTTAGCACAACACCGAGGAATGACGGAGAGGCCACAGCGGCTCTTTGGGGGCGCCGTGGAGAGCGCAGGTCCCCTTCACGCCTGGCCTGCCGTGGCTGCCACCTCCTGGTAGAAGCGGGCCGCCAAGTCCGGAGCAGCCTCCTCCATCTGTCTGACAAATTCATTGCGCTCAGCCTCCGACCAGCCCCGGAACCACTGGTCCCAGAGGCGCATCTGGCACTCAAAGATGGACGGGGGCTTCCCAGGTTGCATGCTGAGCCCCGCCAGCCCCTCCAGCAGCGGGAGCACCTTCCAGGGCACGGCCTTGTCCACCAGGTCACGGAGGAAGCGCTCACGCTGCGCCGGGGCCCAGCCTGACAGCCAGTGCAAGAGGCAGCGCATTTCCTGCGCAGTCACATAGGACAGGGGCAGCGGCTCGGACATCCTGCAGGGCGGCAAAAAACAGGGGCGAGGGGGTGAGCATGAAACTTTGGATATAATATGGAATTAGAAAAATGGCAAAAGCTGTGGGAGGGAAACATTCACATTAGCAACTTCATATAAAGAAAACCTGTGTAAAATGTTTTATAGATGGTATCTGTTGCCAAACAGACTAGCCAAGATATTTCCAAATATATCAAATGGATGTTGGAAAGTAAACAAAAGCCTGGTATTTTTTACCGTATGTGGTGGACTTGCGATAAAGCGAAAAAGTATTGGATTAAAATACATAAATGGCTTGAGGAAATGTTACAAAAACCTTTACCTTTTAAACCTGAAGTTTTCTTATTGGGCATTATACCTGCTGATATTAGTAAACAAGAAATGTACTTGATTTTACATGTAATTACTGCAGCGAGGATTGCGTTTGCCCAACACTGGAAAAGTGAAGAACCACCCACCGATGAACTGATCCTAAAAAAGATCTTGGACTGTGCGGAAATGGACAGATTGTCTTTGTCATTGAAGGAGAAAGAAGATACTGATTTCTATCAAACTTGGGACTCTTTTTTATTATTGGCTAGAGAAACGGGACTTCGTATAGATTTAAATCTGTTTCTAAGTTATCATAAATAGAAAAAATGTGGGGGCTGACCCAGCAGGTCCGATGTTTCTGATGACTGATGTTGTTTTTAGTTTTTCTTTGTATTAGGGTTATTTTGAATAAAAATTATAAAAAAAAACAGGGGCGAGGGGGCAGGCTGTTACCATCTTCAGACAGGCAAAGGTGCCTCCAAGGCCTGAAGGACAGGGAAGGCAAAAACACTCAGGACCAAAGAGCAGAGGGCAGGATCTGAGCTGGGCGCATACACCAAAGAAGTTGCAAGTCTGTAGACACAGGCACGGGAAGAATGCTTTCGACGCTCAACTTTTCCAGGTCTGGATGCAGAAGTGACACAGGGCCGCATAGAAACACAGTGCCCACGTTTTGACGAGGAGGCCTGGAAGCGCTCAGCCTCCCGATTCTCACTGAGTCCAGCTGCAATCGTCACATTAGCCAAGGGTCCAAACTGGATTTTCCCAGCAACAACACCGAACAGAGAGCTCCGTTACAACCAATAGACCATCTTCAGGAACTCTGCATCAAGACTTCTCCAACCCGGTCCCCTTCGGTTGTGTTGAACTGCAACTTCCATATTTCCCTGTAAGCAAAGCCTGCCTGGGAAGGATGGGACTTGCAATCCCAATACAACAGGAAGATCCAGGTTGGAGAAGGCTGATCTAAGGAACTCGAATCAAGTAAGGCAAACTGATGACACATGAGTCGCCATCATTTTCTCTGTAGCAGTAACTTTTGGGCTCTGCCTGCATTTTTGGATTCTCTGGGGTGGGGGAGGTGGGGGGCTAAATAAACTACAGCATTTTCCACCATATTGCTGCCTGGAAGCCGCTCTTAATCTCAGGTCTAATTTGGGTAGATAAGTGTGTTCCGTATCTTCACCTGGGGCACATTCCAGGGGAAAGAATGGGCATATCTGGCTTTTTCTGCCAGTAATTAACATTTAAGAGGGAAATTTCAACCTTTTAGAACAGGTTGAAAAACTGCCATGCTCAGGAAACCTCCAAATAATTGGAAGACAGGGGAACGCCAAAGGACCATCTAAAGTGCTCAGATGCGCCATGTTTGACCTGTCCTTCAACACCCTTGTTAAAAAAAGGAGGAAACCAAGGTGCACTTTGTATGCTATTAGTTATGTGTGTTGCAATACAGGGAGAAATGTGTGTTTTGGACAGGAATATGTTGCAATACAGGGAATGGTGCTGAAGTGGAAAACATTACAGTGAACTGTGCAGAATTAAGGCAGATGCTTTCAAAGTGCTGTGCAAGCATGTGGAAATGCTGCGCAGCAGCCCAGACTGGAAAAATGGTGCATTAGGACTGACAGGGTAAACCCGGCCTGGTGAAATTTGTGCAGTTTTGTGAGATTTGGGATCCTAAATGTTGGGTGCAGCAGGGTGGTTGAGAACACTGCTTCTTCAAACTACCAGGGGCAGTATGAAAGAAGATTTGCAGAAGAAAGTTCTGAAGGAAGATGGCAAGAGAGGCGGGTGAAGTTGTCTGTGTAAACATAGGAACAAGCTGGGCAGGAACAGAAAGGGGTGGGAACTGATGCTATGTGATGTCAGAGCTGTCCATGTGTAAAACCCGGGTTCACAGCTTGTCTTAAAGATGCAAAAGGGCAGGGCCTCGGTCTTACCTTAGAAATAAAAGGTTGCCTGATGAAAAAGAATACTGTAGCCTCTGAAAATTTCCATGTGTGTACTGGGAGATTCTGGGAACTGAAGTGCACAAGGCGGGCACAAGGTTGGGGAAGGCTGGGATATGAAAAACCATGATCCAAAACCATTGTTCAAGGCAGTGTGCTGTAGTGGTTATAGTGTTGACCTGGGATTTGAGAGATCCAGGCTCTAGTCTTCACTTGGTCATGAAGCTCGCTGGGTGGCTTTGAAACAGTCACTGATGCTCAGCCTAGCTTCCCACAAAGACTATTGTGAGGATAATATGGAGACAGGGATGAGGTAAACTACCTTGCAAATAATAATAATAATAATAATAATAATAATAATAATAATAATAATAGATCTGATAAAACCCCACCATACAAACTGAGCAGGGCTGTCCAGGGCAGGGTATTTTGGAAGGAATTCGCTTATATGGTCGCCCCAAGTTGGAGACAACTTGAGGGCACAGAATAACAACATAAAACAAGGAAAACGGACATTCGCGCAGCCAATTCGGTAACTTACAAAAAGTCACACAGATGTGTTTGCGCATCTTCGCTGCGGTTTCCTCCGAGCATCTGATGCGGTGCTCAGAGGAAACTCAAGCTGCCAAGTGCTACCCACCCCGCTAACACGTGGAGTACACCTAGGCATGTATAAAGTGCACGTCTGAACGGAACGAGGACGTGCAGATGACCCTTCGTGCCGTGTCGGCGTGAGCGGACACAGATGCACGCCTGCTGCAGTCCCTTGCCTTTCCGTGAGGCATAACAGCGAAATTTGGGGCGGGGGGTGCCTCCCCCTGCAAAAAAGAGAGAGGAAGACAAAACCAAGCCAGGCCGGGTGCTGAGTTCTCACCTGGGTCCGCTCCCTGCTCAGCACGCCCCGTTCCTCCCCATTTCTTCCTCGGTCGAGGGGTCCATTTTCACCTGGCGCAGAGCCAAGGGGGCGGAGCCAGCGGAAGAGGCGGGAAGAGCCGAAAGCACCCGAACTCAAGTTCACCCACTTACGCGAGGAGGCATTCGGCGGAAAGGACCGAGGCTGTTCCGGAGATTGGCGGAAGTTGCCGAGTCCCTGCCGGAACGTTCTTCCGGGTTCAGACGCGCCTCGCGACACCCGGAAGCACCCGACGTAACCTGGAAAGAATTGCCAACTAAGAGTGGCGGCCCCGTAACTCCTCTCGCGCCCCCTCCCCCGTTGGGGCGCTGTACGTTGAGCGGAAGTGCCCGGAAACGAACGACTGTTAACGAAGCGTGAGCGGAGATTATCGAGCGAGCTCGAACGCCGTGTCGGAGGTCACCTTAGAGCGCCGAAGCCGCCTCCGGAAGTTTCCGAACGCCCCCGAAGCTCCGGGGAGGGCAGGCAGCGGCGCCACACAAGATGGCGGACGGGGAGGAGGTTACTCTGGACGGGAGGCCGCTCCAGGCACTGAGAGTCGCCGATCTCAAGGCGGCTTTGGAGGAGCGCGGCTTGGCGAAGAGCGGGCAGAAGAGCGCGTTGATCAAGCGCCTCCGCGGGGTGAGGAAAAGGGCCCAGCAGGAGGGGGCCCAGGGGCCCGGGCCGCTCCGCGCATGCGCAGACGGACACGGACAGTTTGCCTCCCAGCAACGGGGCCCCTGGCCCTGGGGTGCTGACGAGTTGTACGCATGCGCGGGGCAGTATCCTGCGCCTGACACCAAGTTGTTTGCATGCGCGCGCGCGCGCGCGCGTGTGTGTGGGGGGGAGACTGTGTGGGACTCCACTGGTTGCACATGTGCAGGGGACTATCCTGTTCACACCATTAACAGGAAGAGAGTCCCCACTTCTGTCATGACGTTGGGGTTACCCACTAGGAGAAAGAGGACCCCCTCTTTTTAATAAGGGGATGACCATCGCAGAAACCTGGATTCTGGTGACCTGCTAAGCTCTGTCCCTACTTCTGGTTCTTGTATTTCAGCTAACAAATGTGTTTTTGCCCTGGTGAACTTCACTAAAAGTATTTGCTCAGTCAGTTTTTGTAGGCTGTTAAGCCAACGAAGCTGAGCTTTGCATGAGCTGAGCTGCTCTGTCACGGTTCTGCTCTTCCAATTTATAACACAGTTTTTAAATCAACTCTTTCTATAACGTATTTCCAACATGCTATGTGTTTTGCAACTGTCTCCTTTTAAGAGTGTAGAGAAATTTAGCTTTGCAAAAGGTGTTTTTCAAGTAATTTAAGATTAGCGCTGTGCACACTGAAGAGAACAGATAAATTACTGTGTGGCGGTGCACAGTAGCATTAAACAGTGGAGTGTTCGGTATGGGTAATTGGATAAATGAATGCAGTGGCTGTGAATATGTCAGAAGCATGGTGGGAATAGTATGGAGGGCTACAGTGGGGCATTTAGGTTGTGCGTTGCCCTGTGTGGGGACTGACCCCAGACTTGTCCATGTAATGCTGTCCCTTCCTTTGCTTCTTTCTTCCTAACTTGTGGCTTCACTGAGATGCTGTGAGCATCATAGTCATACTTAACATTGTTCACAGTATGTCACATAGTTATAGTAGCCATTAGATCAGTCCTGCAAGGTAGTTTGTGTATTGTGTTTTTTTCCACAAATGGAGGGAAGGCTGAAACAGAGTCTCTCTCCTGGGACCATGTTCTGAATTTGTGACAGAGGCAAGTTGCAAATTCAAGACCACCTGCTTCACAGTTGGGTTATGGCAGCACTTGGTCATTTGAATATCAGCGCTTTGCTGGCTGCTTACAGAAATAAGTCTCTTTGTGTTCAGTGGACTCACTGCTTGATAGCCAGTGGATAGCCAACCACTGGAGAGCCAGTGTGGCATAGTGGTTAAGAGCACGGGACTGGGACTCAGACGACCTGGGTTTGAGTCCCCGCTCGGCCATGGAGCCAACTGGGTGATTTTGGGCCTGTCACAGACTCTCAGCCCAACCTACCTCACAGGGTTGTTGTTGTGGGGATAAGATGGAGGAGGAGATGTAAGCTGCCTTGAGCCCTTTGTAGGAAAAAGGCAGGATATAAATCCAAAAATAAATAAATAAGTGTGCATTTAGAAATCATAGTCCTGGTGTGTTGCTCTCTACTCATACATAGCAAGCCAGTTTTGAGTGTAAGGCAGCATGATGTGCCTGGAGGAAGGCTAGGCAGCTGGTGCCGTCCAGATGCTTTGCACTACAACTCCCATAATCCCTCACCATTGGCCATGCTGGCTGGAGCTGATGGGAGCAGTCATTCAGACCATCTGAAGAGGGCACCTGGGTGTCTACCCCTGTGCCACAGTGTTGGGTTAGGGCTGGGGGGATGTGGCTTCCAGTCATCATTTGCTCATGAGGCTCACTGTGGGTGACCTTGGCTCAGTCACACTCTGTCCGTCTTACCTAACCTGAATGGTTGTTGTGAGAATAAAACAGTTTGGAAGACCAGCGATTGCTGCTGCCTTGAGCTCCTTGGGAGAAGGACAGCAGAGATATGTAATAATGTGGGGCTGTGTGTAACAGGTATATAAAATGATGTCTCTGCTTGGGACCAGAGAAGTGAAACTCAGCTTCCTTGTGTACCCGTATTTTTGTCAACCTTAGTTGGGTACATCTTGGTGACAATCAGGTCTCAGTTTGAGGTGTGATTTGCCAAAAGTCAGACCTTCAAGGCTCAGGCGAGAGCTCAGCCTTGAAATGTGTGAGCTGGGCACAGAAAGAGAGGCTGGTCCCACATCCCTGGGATTAGGAGAGGTAGAAATTAATAAGCTAAGGATACCAGCTTAGGTTGAATTTACCTACCTCGTTACTCACCTAATGAGCTTCATGACCAAGAGATTTGTATCACTGGCTCTCTGGCTGAGGATGGGCGTTGCAGTGCATTGGCAGGGCGCCAGCTTGGGCATGCTCTTTTCCTGGTCCAGCCTTCTACCCACAAGGATTAGCTTTGGCCCCCGTGGCTTCGTGTGTTCCTTTTCGGAGAGGTTGCGGCAGGTGCATGTGAGGTGAGCTGCTGTTACGCTGCTAGATTTACCTCCTGGCAGGGCACAGCATGCATCCTGCTCACAGGTCAGACCATGATGAAATTTCAAGAGTCAGCTGCCACTATCAGTGGCACGCCGGGCCACTGTATTAGGTGGCCTACGGGTAAATGCTGAGTGTGCCAGTCCTGCTTCTGGTCACTGTACGGAGGCTGACAGCATGTTCTGAATTTCATGTGGAAGAGTAAATGTGGCCCCCTTTCCAGTCATTTTGAGTATTATGGTTTCTTGTGACTACCTAGGTTGCTGATTTCAAAACTCTCCTCGCAGGGGAGTGTCATTGCTTCCTTTTGTGAAGAGTAGCAGCTTTTGGATGGTGGTATTTTTGCTTCTTGCGGGGTCGGAGGGCCACGACAGAGCTCTCTGTGAAGGTTTAGATGAAGGTTGTGTGTGCAAAAGAGTCACTCGGCATTCAAGTTTCCTTTGGGTGCTCTGACTCCGTGTGATTGGTAGAAACTGAACTGAACCATTCAGGGTATAGACTTAAGTAGGCAACTCACAGTAAGAAGTAGAAAACTGATAAAGCAATGAACTTCCGATTACCAGTCGTGTCTTGATGGAAAGCCATGTAATGAGTGGCAGGTAACACTGCCTTGGAAGACCTAGGAGTGAAAACATGGGACTGAGTCGGAGGGTGGTTTTGATCTTTGTAGATGGATCAGACTGTCGGGCAAGGTGCCTGGTGACGGACTGGGTTGGGGTTGAGCTTGGGAAATGCAGAAGTGGGCAATATGGTTGATCTTCGCTAGAGTTTAGAAAAGAAGGATGGGTTGATGTCGGCTTTCTTGTAAAGGCCTGGCAACAAATGACCACGCCGATGTTGGGCTTTGCTGGGAAACAGACACTGCTTGTCTGTCTTGTTTTTGGGTCAGTGGATGGAAATCATTCCTTGATGGCTTTGGCATGCACGGCTTTTGTAAAAAGGGTGGTCAGTAGAGTTGGAGCTTGGGAAAGCAACATTCCAGGCGGCATGGAATCTTCTGACCTAATAATCTTCTTTTTCATCACAGGCCCTGATGCTCGAAAACCTCCAAAAGCATTCAACCCCGCACACCACCTTCCAACCCAATTCCCAGGTGAGAGAAACCAATCAGCCAACCGCAGCTCTTTGAGATGTGGTTGAACTATGCTACAGAAAGCATGGCCTTCTCTTTGTGTGCACCTGTTTTTCTAGTATGGCTTGAAAGTTATCTGATGGTTGTGTGCTCAGATTTATTCCTTTTCCAGCTCTGGGACTTGAACTGGGGATTTGCCTCACTTCCCCACTCTGCCCTGAGTGTCTTTCTCAAAACATCCAGAAAGCATTCTTACTTGCTAGCCCTGCAGTCACTTCCTAAAGCTGGGATGGCAACTGTAGAATTTTGCCCCGCTGAAGCCTGCTTTCTCTCTCGCATCCTGCCAGATTGGAGAGGAGATGAGTCAAAACAGCTTCATCAAGCAGTACCTGGAGAAGCAGCAGGAGCTGCTGAGGCAGCGTCTGGAACGGGAGGCCCGGGAAGCTGCAGACCCAGAAAGTGAGTATGATGTGGCCTTTCTCTCCGGCTCCTCGTCCTTCCTCCGAGACCTGGGGAGAACCCTCTCTTGCAGGGTGAAGGCGCTTTTCTTATCCTGCTTTGCAGCCTTCTCTTCTGTAACTCAAGAATCCCTCATTTCTGGCCAAATCAGTCCCCTAAGTGTGCTTTTTGCCTGCAGACGTAGTTCAGCATAAAATGAAAATGGGTCACCTGTTTATTCCTTTCTGCACTGAACAAGTTGCCCACTCAGGAATTTCTGTGGAATCTAGAAACTTGTGCCATCTCGCAAACTGCTAGTCTTCATTGATCTTGATGTGTTGGCGTTGTCTCTCCGGATAGTTGTGTTAGGCAGCAGTATAGCTTCATTTTATGAGGAAAAGGAGGAAAGATTCCAAAGTTCAGTCTTCTTATTCAAGACAAAATTGGAGACTCTGGCAATTCAAACAAGGCATAGGAAAGGTGCTAAACGTACCAAAAATATTGACTGACCGAAGAGCTAAAATACTGTTACCTTCAGAATTCAAGGGATTTTAAAACCACATTGATGGGATGATTGAAATGATGGGCAAAAAGATGAAGAAAAATGATGTTGCAATATTGCCAGCTGGTTCTGTAGTCTTTAGTATTATGGTTTTGTTTGTTGGGCAGTTCAGATTCTTTTGTTTTTATCGTTGGTTGTAAACTGGCTGAAGGGTGAAAAGAGGGTGTGAATTGTCTATCACAAAAAAATAAACCTCTAGTTTCGGAGAAGAACTTGATGGCCTGGCAAATAAAAGCATGCAGTGAATTTGTAGACTGAAAGAGACATTGACTAAAAGAACGTTGAAGCAGGAGAGCTTCACACAAACTAATATTAAATTGAATTTGATGAGTTGAAGAGGGAGAAGTGAAAGGCACAATCATGTACAATCCTGGGCCTGCCTTCTCAGAAGTGCAAGAGTATGTCCCACTGAGCCTTTCTCCCAGGTGACTGGGCAGAGCGATCCTAACCCCCAGATTTGGTGCTTGCTGGTGGTGGTTAGAGTGAGGCAGAGGCCCCCCTCCACTGCCTTAGTTTTACTCACAGGAAGCTGCCACTATCTGTGTTCCCATCAGCAGTAGATGGCATAAAGGCCCAGGGTGTGGGGTCTTGTGTGGCACAGGTTGCTTTGACTCTGCTGAATGCAAAGCTCCATCCTGTTGCCAAGTATCCTGGCAGCCTAGGATTGGGCATCTCCGCTGTGCCAGCCAGAACTGGGCTTTGCAAAGGATCCCCCCTCAGTTCCTGAGGGGTGGGGTTTTTTTAAATAAGCTGCTTACAAAGTGCATCCCAAGTGTACCTACACACACACACACACACACCCTGCTCTGACTGTGCTTTGGAGCAGCAGGTGGTTCTCACCTCCCTTCCCCAACACTGCTCTGCAAATCTTGTGGACAGCTCCTGAGTAAAACAACCCCAAAACTATTGACTTGTGGGTTCATGCACTGCTAGCATTTTCCACTGAGCAGGACAGGATCCAGTCAGTACAAAGTCTTCAGTATTGACAATAAACCATGAGGCATCTTATTAAAATTTTATGAGGGTAGCTTAAAAACAAATCCAATAAGGCCTCCCTCATATAAAAATCAAGGGCTGTATTTAACTGAATTAAGTATTGAATGAATTGAATTGAATGAAATTGGTATGAATTTGCAGCAGGGGGTTTTCTTCAATTTCCTTGCGGGGTTTGAGGGAGTTGGGTGTTCTTTTTTTAAAAGAAAAGGACGGATTGCTGTTGCTTTTTCTCCAGAAGGTCAATTTAAGAAATTGGGGTTGTTTTTTTAAAGTACTTTGGCCTAGCTTTCCAGGGCACACAGCCTTCACAAAGTGTTTTACAAGACTCTGAAATACATAACACTGTGAAAATCAACATTTACATCACAAATCCCAGAAGAGCTGCCACAACTAATCCCCCGACCCCTTTCCACCCTGCAGCACAATTCAAATGCAGACAGGAATAATAAAACATTTTCCAAGCTGTTGTTTAAAACAGTTACAACCCAGCAGTGATGAGGTCATGTCAAACATGGGGAATTAGTTCCAAAGACAGGTGGGTACCAGAGTAAAAGCTGTGCTCCTCGGACCTGGCCGGTCAAATTATGCTAGCAACTCAAGAGCACGGCTTCCAGAATCGATCTTAACACTCAGGTAGTCCCATTCGGGTGTGGGTGGGCCTTCATACACTCTTATCCCAAGCCACTCAGGGCTTTAAAAGGCCACGCTCACTCAATATAACCTGATTCGGAATAGTTGTAATATGCTCCCAAGTGCCTACCTGCCACATTCTGTACCAATCGCAATTTCTCAGCTGTTTGCATGGGCAGCCTTGTGTTGAGTTAATTCTGCTGTAAGCCCAGATGGAGCTGAGTAAAAACTTGGGTGAAATAAAACTATTTAGTTGTTTCAAGGTTTTGTAGACTTGAAATACAGAGAGGGTAATTGCACGGTCTAGAAGAGTTTGAAATTATGCTGTAAATGGCATGCATTAGTTCTGAGAATACATGGATTGTGGTAAAAGATATACTGGAAAGAGATGGGTGGGTGGTTTGAGCTGATTAATCATGTAATTAGTAAGAGTTCAGATTGTTATGGGCTTGACAGTATTTATGCCTCTAGTGAAGTTGCTTTAAACTCTGCTTTTGAATATTAAGTTTAAAAGATAAGTCTCTCAGCAAGTTTAGTTGGATTGTTCCATTTAAGTTGTATTTATTATTTATTTTAAAATTTTCCATGCTGTCTCATATTGTAAGAAGGTCTCAAGATGGTGTGCAAAAGAATAAAAAGCAATTAAAACTAGGCAATAGTACTTAATTTAAAATACAATAGATAAAATATACATTAAAACTAACATTTAAAAATTGGGTGAATAAAAAGGGTTTTGCCTGGTGCCAAAATGAGTAAAGAGTCACTGTCAGGCAAACCTCTCAGAGGAGCATATTCCACAGTCGGGGTGCTACTGCTGAGAAGGCCCTTCTTCTAGTAACAGCCCTTCTTACCTCCGAGGAGGGCTCTCAGAGAGGGAGCTTCAAGGTTCAGGCAGGAGTATATGGAAGGGAGCATTCTGTTAGATGCAAGTTTTCTCTGTTAGAGAGAGGCACAATCCCCAAACGATACTCGGATTGCTTTGGTTCTGCCCTGCCTCCTCTCCTCAATTGCCAAGAGACATCATGGTGCGGCTGTTGTAAAAATGTGGATCTGAGTCCCCAGGTGCGACTTCAGCCCCGCTGTGCTGTGCCGTTCTGCCTCTTAGGAGTCCCAGGTGTGCCGGGATTTGTCGACTTCCCAGTGGCCACCTGGATGCTCAGTTCAGGGGGTGCATTTGCCCGCACTTCTGCTGTTGAGGCGTTTTGGTGACAGGCCTGTGGGGAAGTGTTTCTGCAGAACTCCCTGGTGTCATTCCAGACGCCTTGTGATGGTGAATGGGATATAAAATGCAAACCTGGTTGATACAGCTGTTCAGTTGCATGTACTGATCACCAGGACTGGTCAAAGCTTTTGTGGAAAGAGTAGAATTATCAGTATCTTTTTTTACTGTCTCTGTCTTTAGAAGTTGGATTTTCTGCCATTGATCAAATGCTGGAAGTCGTGTCCTAGCCCAGGTATGGGCAACTTGTAGTTCTCCAGAGTGGAGCATACCCCTTCTTGCTTCAGTCTCTGTGGTTGATTTTGCTGTCAAAACTATGGCAGCCAAAAAGCTGTGGTTTTTAATTTAGACCGAGGTGCCTTGTTTTAAAGAGAAATCATGGTGATTTTGATGTCATTGCCTCATTTTGCCTAACTCTGGGAAACATGTGCATGGCAAAACCCCACACAGAATACATCCAGAATGTGCTTCCGTTCATTTCTGCATTAGTAGGGCAACTGGCTGTTGGGATCTGAGTGCCCTTTCTGGCCATGGGGTTGGAGTAGGGGATTGGCTAACTGCAGCTGCTGCTTCATGATTCAGTGAGTAGGGCCCCTTGCTGCGCGGTCCTTCCTGGGATGCAGAAGATGCAGCCTCCATGTGGCCTTTGTTTTCCGGACTGAGGCTAGAGGCCAGAGCCTGCTTCCCTTCAGCTCTTCTTTCCCAGGACAACTTAGGATTCAGACAGGCTTAGCCAAGAATGTTCCCACCCCTAAACTAGCCGTCCCCAACTACCTGCACCCTCCAGGTGGGACAGCAGCCCCCAGTGGCCATGCTGGCTGATACAGATGGGAAATGCACTCGTAACCATCTGGAGGGCATCAGAGAACTTGATGGTGGGGGAGAAGAGCTTCTACCAGCTCTCTGGCAGGGTGGGCGATCAGATGCCTTCCCTCTCCTGTGTCCTTTCAGCCGGAAAGGAAAGGTGAGGCAGGGCACCGCAGACGCAAGAAGCTTATGCTGCCGTTATGCTTCAAGCCCTCACAGTACTTGAAATCTCTTGCACACGCACATTAAATACAGTGCTTGCTGTTGTACTCCATTGATCAGTAATCAGGCATCCTAAATGCTAGGGGTACGGAGCCCTTTTGTACAGCTGCCAAAGCTGTTTTCCTGGGTCATTTGCAATGGAAGCCTAGCCGTGAGGAGGTCAAGGAGACCCGCCTGCCTCCCCCTTGAGCGTTCTTTCCGGGGGCCTGCTTTGCAGAGCGGTTTCTGGGCTCAGCAGCTGATGTACCTCCCTTCCTTTGCTAGGCAGAAGCTGCGTTGTCCCCCGGGAAAGGGAAGAATCTGACGAGGAGGAGCCCAGGAGACCAGAGCAGCACCCCTCCCGGGCTAGGCAGGTAAATGGCAGCGGCCAGGGTGGTACAGGCGGAGGATAACAACGGGGAGGGCCACTCTGCAACGCAGGGGGCCAACCCTCTGGGGCCTGAGCCATGAGAAGGAGATGGTGGGGGTTGGCCGGACCCCCAGGCGGGCATGCTGTGATCCACTCTTTCCTCCAGGCCAGAACTGCAAAGGCAACGGCAGGTGGCCACGCCCCAGGCAGCGAAGAGCGGGAGACGTCCGTTCGGAGTCGGAGGGGGGCCCAGCGGGCAGTTGTAAAAGATGAGGAAGAGGAGGAGGAGGAGGAGGAAGATGACGAGGAAGACGAGGACGAGGAGGAGGACGAGGAAGAGGAGGCTGCCCCCCTGCTGACTGCGCAGGCACCCAAGGGGCAGGATAAGCCTGGAGGACCACCTCCCCAGGGGGGCGACATATGCCGGGCTCCCTCGCCCATCGCCTTGGAAGCCCAGCAGAAGGCATCCCCAGCCCAGACCCCTGACACCCAGCAGAAGGCCACGGCCAGGACCCTGGATGCCCGGCGGAGCGAGGCAGCAGTGCCGCTTCTCCTGCCCTTCAAGGGGGAGGCTGGGCCCCCAGTGGCGGAAGGTGGGGCGGAGTTGCAGACAGCCATCACACAAGTACCCGCGGAAGAGAGCGGGGGCCCCAGCACGGCCGGCCCTCCCGAAGGAGAGTTGGCCGGAGCCCTGGAATCGGCGACGACAGCCCGGCCAGCGGAAGCCTTAAAGGAGGGGACGGATGCCGCAGCAGTGTGCCAGGAGGAGCCGAGGGAGCCCAGCCTCCACGAAGCACGTGGCCAGCCCGTGGCGGCCAGCGCGGGGGAGCCTGCAGTTGCGCCTTTGCCGCCCCCACAGGTCGTGGGCATGGGGGAGCCTGCGAGGGACGAAGAGCAAGAGGAGGCCGCGGAGGCCCTGAGGACCCTGGAAGAGGCGGAGGCTGCGGCGGCGGCCCTGATTCAGGCCTCCCCCTCACCTCCGCAGCTGACCGAAGCACAACACACCCAGCAAGACCACGGGGGAGACGAGCCCCCGCCCCCACTCCTGACAAAGGAAACCCCTGCGGAGCCCAGCCCTGTGGAAGACGAAGCCCCCCCACAGCTCTCTCGGCCCTCCCCGCCCTCTCAGGAACCCCTGTCGGCGGGCAGCCCCAGCGTCCCAGAGGAGAGGTCTGGCCGCTCCCCCTCGCCCCTGCCCCCCCTGCCCCCCCAGCAGCAGCGGGAAAGGCCCCGGGGGACCAGCTCCTCCCGCTCCTCCTCCTCCTCCGCCTCCAGTTCCTCCAGGTCGCGCTCCCGGGGCAGCTCCCAGCCCCGCTCTCGGGCAAGAAGGCCCCGCTCTGACTCTTCCGAGTCCCCACCCAGGAAGCGGCGGCACTCGGGGGTCCCCTCCCGCTCTGGCTCCGAGCAGCACACCAGTTCATGTTCCAGGTCGCCCTCCAGGTCGCGCTCCAGATCCTGCGACAGCAGCGACAGCAGCAGAAAGGTGAGTTGCATCCCGGCGTCCCTGGCTCCTTTTAGCCTGGCGCAGGTTGTCCTGGACGATCGCCTTGCGTCCCTTTGCTCACGCGCTCTGATCTTTCCAGCTGGTTCCTTGGAAATCTGACCGGCCCTTTTCTAATGTGTTTCGTTTTCACTTTAGTGTCGCCATCATATTTTATTCCATTTTGACCTTTGGAATAAAATAATTGGGGGTGGGGTGGACACATGCACCCCACATTCATACCTTGGCTTGAGCCTGGCCTCTTCCACCCCATTTCTGTCTTGGGGGGCCAGTGGAAGATTTGCCCCTCCTGTCCTCCTATCCCCAGTATTGCATTGTCTGATTTAAATATATATTTCTGGAAATGGGGGGAAATGAATGTGGCAGGCGCATCAAACTGGCTCGTAATTAGGCAGTCACAGGGGTGAATTTGGGCGACCACCAGGTAACCAGGGAGGGGGCGCTGTCTGTCCAGGCAGGCTGGGTTCCCCTGCTGGGCAATCATCCACCAGCCCTTTCGCTCCCAGGGCAGCCCCTTCAGTAGCATACGCTTTTCTCCCTGGCACCCCACCATGGCAGCTACTCACCCCAGGTCCTCGTGGACGACGGATGTGTTCAGACAGGGTCCACAAAGGCCCCCCTGGCCACACCCTCTGAACCTGGTGTTTTTGGCCAAGCACTGCCTTTAGTGGTGTTTTTGTTTGAAGCCACTGAGGCAGGACCGGCAGAGCTTTTGGCTCAGGCAGCGGCTTCTTGAAAACAAACGGGCATTCCCAGCTCGGGCGGGGGTTGAGCGAGGAGTTAATCCTTGGGCTAGGATAGTGGAGCTTGACCAGACAGATGCTGCCAGGCGTCACACGCCTTCTGCCTGCCCCTGGCCAAGTTTCCAACCCCTAGTATGTGAAAAGCAGCATCGAGCGGAGTGCCTTAACACACTGCATTCCAAAGCCTGCATACAAACCAAAGTGGAATTTGCAGGCACATTTCAAAGCAGGTGCAGGGATGAGAGTTTATTTTCAAGTGTGTTTCAAAACAACCACCCAGTTTGAGTGTGTGGATTTGGGACTGCTTGTGCAGATGTGAAGGGGCTTTTCCTTACCCCCTGAGCTCTTTGTCTGTGCCGCGTTCCTTAATGCCATACGCCAGCGTCGGGCTCAGAACCATAGCCTTCCTGAAGGGGCTGCAGAGTTCACAGTTGACAGATTGCTGAGATGAAAGGATCCAGAAATTGTTCTGAGTGACTAAAAGATAACTCTCTCCCAATTAGCCAGCCACATGTTTTAATAACCACAACAAATACTTCTAATGCAAGTGCATTTAAAAACCGCTTTCGGCAAGCACCGTCTTGTTTCTCCTCTGAGAGAGACAGACACGCGAGGTGGGGATGAAATACCAGATAGTGTGTGCTGTGATGCGTTCTTGAACCTGCTAACACCTCATTCTTTTTCTTTCTTAGAACTATTATTCCCATATGTAGAATGAAAGTTTATTCGCAGACATATCCATGTGGCTAATGAATCCAGATTTCTTTACTCAGATGCCGTCCGGGCTCCCCAGTTCTCTCCCTCTGCCTAACTCCTCCTGATTTGGGAACAGCTTTTCTTGGGCAACGGAGGGCAGGCCATCCTCAAAGCTTGGTCTTTTCTGCTCTCAGTCCCACAGCCCTGAAGCCTCAAGGGACAGCACCAGCTACCCCCGCACCAAAGAGTCCTCTCCCCCAAGGGAGACCCCTCCATGCCGCAGCCCCCAGGCCCAGCAGGAAGTGTCATCCAGCCCCAGGGGAGAAGGAAGAGCCACCTCTCCCCCACCTTTGGAACCCGAGAGGCACTCCACCCCTACCCAGCTGCAGCCACATGAGCGGGAGTCGGAGAACACAGTTCCAGAGCGAGTACGGACGGGAAGGGGCTGGCGGGGGCGCGGGGGGCTCCTCTCACCGGTGCCGGTTCCACTGCGGAGGGGGAAGCGCACAGAGGGGTGGAGATCCGGAGCCCTTCCCCGGCGCCCTGCAGTCTCTTCCTGCTAAACTGGGCCTTTCCCCACAGGGCAGCCCCGAGCCCCCCTTTCCAGTGGAGGCCACTGGCCCAGAGAGCAGGGTGCCTGATGCGGAGCCGCTGTGCCCGTCGGAGCAGCAGCCCGGCAGAGCGTAAGTATCCGGGGTTGTGCAGCTGGGGTGGCGGCTGTGAGCGAGCGAGCGAGGCTGGGCGAGTCTCGCCGCTTCGCACCACTCGTGAGCAGAAGGCACCTCACAGAGGGATGGAGCTCAGCTCTGGCGCGCGATGTAGGAATTCAGCAATACCACGAGGCTTGAGCCCCTAAACGTGGGAAGCGATCGCGTGCTGTAAGGCAAGCACGGAGTGCCCTGGAAAAGTGCTTTGGGAAGGAGGGCTGGTTTGCAGTTATCGTCCCTTGCAGGAGGAAACGACTGGTATGACATGCCACTACTTAAGCGGAATTATTTTTCTTCTTCCGAGCAGTACTTTCTTATTTCCATTTGCTCGGGGCCTCTCTGAGAACATCAGGGTGCCCATCCTTTCATCTCAGCATAACTGATTTCTGTTATCTGTTGAAGGGATTACATTATTACTCCTTCCATTATTCACAAGTTCTTAAAAAAAGACTGGTCTGTATGAAGTGAGGTGTGGGTGGAAACACCTGGAACACATTCAGGTTAGAGAAACTCTTATCAAAGTAACGGCCTCATCAAGGACCTGCTAATCAACTAATTATACTAACAGAGCTCTGACTGATCTTGGCAAAGTTGTGCCTTCCCGCCTGGCATGAGACCCTCTTGGTCCCGACCAGGCTGGCCTGGCCGCGCATGAATGTCTTCACGGCATGGATAGCCGGTCACGTGCCTTGCCAAGAGCCCAGAGGGGCTTACACAGCCCCCCTCCCTTTCATCTTCACAACAGCCCTGCGAGGTAGATTTTGACCAAGAGTCAGCAACTGGCCCAGAGGCACACAGGCAGCTTCACCGCTGTGGGGACTTGAGCATAGCAGGGCCTGCTCTGACGAGATCCTGCTTCTGTTCGGGAATGATTCGGGGGACTGATGGGCAGGGTGGGCTCTCGGTGGTTGTGGGGGGGGGGGCGGGGGGGCGTTGACAGTCTACTGGAGGCTGTACTATAAGGAAGGCTCAATAGGAAGCGGAGAGGAGGATGCCTCCATCTCCACGGACGGCTGAATGAGGGTGTTTGAATGGCTGCGGTGGCCCTTTTCGCAACCAGATCCCGCTGAATGACGTTCCCCGTCCCGGCGGCCTTGCACCTTGCGGGGCGGCTGGTTCCGGGCCCGCGGGGCGCCAGAAAGCTGCCACGGGCCCCTGCCACTTCCCCGGGCGGCAGCCTGTTGGAGTCGCGCCTGCCCCGCCGCGCGAAACCGGAGCCGCCGGCTTCCCAGGGGCCGGGCGCAAGGGGCAGCTCCGGCCCGGCTGCGGCGGCGCCCCCCCGCCCCCCGCTTCCAGCAGGCAGGTCCCTGCCCCGAGGCGGGGGCTGCCCGCGCGGAGGCGGCGGGGAGGCCGGCCGGGCCGGGGCGCTCCGTGCCGAGGCGCCCGCGCCGCCATCGCCCCCCGTCCCGCCCGCGCCCCCTCCCCGCCTCCCCAGCCCTCCCGGGGGCTGCTGGGAAGGCGGCGGCGGCGCAAGATGGCTTCGCTGCCCGTCCGCGGCTTCGGTTCGCTGCTGCGGCCGGCCCCGCCCGGCCCCGCGTCGCTGCGGCGCCTGCTGGACTAGAGGCGGAGCGGAGCCAGGCGCCGGCCGCCCCGACCCGGCCATGCTGCTCTCCGAGAGCAAGGGAGGGTGAGACGGGGGGCCCGGCCTGGCTCGCCTCGCAGGGGCTGCCTCCATCCTAGCCATCCATCCATCCATCCATTCATTCATTCATTC